GTGCCAGCTACCTATTGGAGGCTAGCCGCTACAGTCTGTCACTGGAGATAATTATTATGTTCACTGTTTAGACTGAGCACAATCAATGATGCCCAATCAATCTGCCCAATGTGTGTTCTGTTCCACCTAATTATAACGTCCCATCGCATCAACCCTACTACACGCACATGTCGTCACTCTAGCACGACTTGTGTTATTATTGTTTATTTTGATTCGCACGATAAATAGAGCACAATAAACGTTAACTTGACCGAAGGTTAAAGGCGACTGCAGATAGAGGAACACATCGAGGTACAGGTGCCGGCATCAATACAGTATCAGAGAGGTACGCAGAAAAAACTCTCGTAAGCCCAAGGGGAAGTGGTTGATGAGGGATGAATGCACTCTCCACGCTCGTCTACACTGTTCGTGGAAATGCACACATACATACAATAATATACAACATAGCAATAGCATGCACAGAACCGAACAATTTCATGTTCACACATGCAAGCACAGACCTGAACATTAGTACCAAAAGCCGATACAGACAATATCCCCATACACACAGACGCGCACACACACAATGTCCCATGTATGCGCCCGTGGCGAGAAAAGCACGCAGATCTAAAAATGCACTGGATGTGAACCCACAGATTTTCTCTAATAGCAATGATAGCGGATCTGATTCTGAATGAAACACACACACAATACAATTATTGAATGCCCATCCGCAGATGATGGCAGGTCCTGAAAGAACAGGCAGTGTTCCAGTAATGGGGAACAGAACTTCGAGTGGCGAGTGAGGTATACACACACACACGTGCGTTCGCGGGCACACACCAAAGTATGAAGAAATAGAATCGACATCGTAGTATTCATTGGTTGGGGAATGGAAAGGATAATAAAACATTGCTGTAGGTTATTGTTGTAAGGACACTGGGAGCACAACAGAAAGGTAAGCAACTTGCTTTGAAGCAAAGAAAGTTATTATTCCACGGATCTCAGAAGGAAGGAACGTTCCAGAATGCTGCACTGGCAACAGGCGGCCTGCATGTGCGCGGCCCCTGCAGTCGGTCCAGCTGCCGGCCTTGCAGTGCTGAAAAGAATGTGCAGTACAGCATGTCACATAGTATCGCAGCCTGGACAAATAGACGCTGGGAAGTCCTAGTTATGTGCTCACCTACACCACGATGCACCAATCTTCTGAGCTACTTTGGCAACAATTTTGTCCACTTGAGACTCCCATGGGCTGAGCCAGTTGTTGAGGGCTGCATCAAGGTGGACGGCAATGACCGCTGATGGCAAGGCAATCCATGACACACAGTCACTAGGGCATCGTCAACATGGCGCTGAGGCTGGATGAATAAAATCAACCTTTAGGCTGCCGCGGGATTGACAACGAGGCCGCTGTCTCGAAGCTAGTCAGTCAGCCTGGTCACCGCCATTGACGAACCAGTCGCCACCGCCAGCAGTGGCGGTAGGTTGTGACAAGTATGGTGCAATATTGTCAGCAAATTCAGTACTCAGGATAAGATGAGTGACAAAGGGAACGTTGTGTTTGATAATATTGAAGTGAACAGGGATGATCACAAACCCTGCGCGTACTCCACCGTGAGTTACAAGAAAATTCCGGACTGGACGACGAGCAAACACCAACCTGCTACATCCAACCATCCAGATACTATAACGATAGCTGCCAAACCAGGTCAATGCCGACCTACTGCATAATGTCAATGTCAAACAGATCCTGCAGGAGAAGACTGGGGTGTTGGCGTCCAGTCACTGAGTGTACAGACACCAGTCACATTTCCTGCGTCTTTTGCAGCATACAGGATAGACTCATCACTGTAAAGTCCACAACTTCGTGATTTTTATTTGTAGAATACATGACAGGCGTATTCAGTGTGCCTCGCAGGACTGCGAGATGCTGCAGAAGACCAGGTTCGACCTTTCTGGACCGCCAATCACCGACGGTGGGCTACACGATGCTGGAGGAACTAGATTCCAGTGAAAACCCAAGATTCCTTTGCTCCTGGACGCTCCGACGTGTTGTGATATCTGCCAGGTGCGCAGTAACTAGTATTTTCATCGCTATAGCGAGGACGACGCCGATCGGCAAACTCTCGCTCACAGCCATCACCAGCCTCTCAAAACCATCACTTGGCATCCCCCAGAGGTATAGGAGAAAGCCAAAACAGCTCTCAACAAATAAAAGCTAAGGACGATGGAAAGGGAGCATGTCAAAAAGAAGACGAACAGTATGAAGTTCAAATGGGTTTGAACACTCGTTCCACCAACTATACCACTTTCAATAAATCGTGACGCCATTTTGTTTTAACATGAATATCGCGGATTGAAGCTTGAATTCTTTGTTTCTTCAGTAGTTCAAGGTCTTTCGGTGATGGCCACTCGGTGCTGCCTTTTACCATGTTTACTGGAGATCATGAAAACACTTCTGCACATTTTATTGCAGTCTAGTAAGGGTTGGTTCACATATCGCCGGTACGCGCCGGGAGTCACCGGCGGTGGGCTTCTTGCAACCTCTCCCGGCGCATTGCGATTGTGTGAACCAGTGCAGTCGTAACAAAATCATACGGTAAAATATCGCAAGGGACCGCCGGCAAAGTTGGACAGTGCCCAACTCTTGCGATCTGCCCCGGCGCCGATCCCGTACAATTTTGACCAAAAGTGGTTTGTGAACCGTTCGCGCCGGTGATCGCCGGGAGCCAGACTTTGTCAAAATATCAAACCAATACTTGTCCTAAATTTTCCTAAATTGAAGCTAGAGAGGAAGTCCGTTCACCATTCTTGTAGTCGCTTCAAGCTGGCAAATAAGTCAGCATACCAGCCCGTCCTTCTCGGATGATCTGCTTGACCATTGTGCAACTTATGAGACAAATACAATTGAAACAAATAAAAAATATGATGGATCATGTGACATTGGCAAGTTCTTGTGACTTCACCAAGGTTTGCAAGCATAATTTCGACACAATCGCTTACTAGACTGCAATAAAATGAGTAGAAGTAGTTTCATGATCTCCAGTAAAAGGTACTTGCACCGAGTGGCCATTACCGAAAGACCTTGAACTACTGAAGAAACAAAGAATTCAAGCTTCAATTGGAAAACCTGTCGTAGCAATTTGGCACATTCTGTCTTTGTAGTAGATTTGGTACTCGAACCGTAGGCGCAACGGATCGGGAGCTGGCTCACCGCCGATGTCTTGCGGCGCCGATTTTGCTTATGTGAACCAACCCTAAGCGATTGTGTCGAAATTATGCTTGCAAACGTTGATGAAGTCACAAAAACTTGCCAATGTATCCATTATAATTAAAATTTTTATATTTGTTTCAATTGTATTTGTCTCATAAGTAGTTAGTTGCACAATGGTCAAGCAGATCATCCGAGAAGGACGGGCTGGTATCCTGACTTATTTGCCGCCTTGAAGCGACTACAAGAATGGCGAACGGACCTCCTCTCTAGCTTCAATTTAGGAAAATTTAGGACAAGTATTGGTTTGATATTTTGACAAAGTCTGGCTCCCGGCAGCTGGCGATCACCGGCGCGAACGGTTCACAAACCACTTTTGGTCAAAATCGTACGGGATCGGCGCCGGGGCAGATCGCAAGAGTTGGGCACTGTAACTTTGCCGGCGGTCCCTTGCGATATTTTACCGTAATGATTTTGTTACGACTGCACTGGTTCACACAATCGCAATGCGCCGGGAGAGGTTGCAAGAAGCCCACCGCCGGTGACTCCCGGCGCGTACCGGCGATATGTGAACCAACCCTTAGTCATTAGCAATGCCGGGCATTACATTTAGCATAAGTACCAAGAGTTCTCTCTTGCAAGTATGTATTTACTCTGGTGCTAATGGCGTGATTGCGCAAGCACGTCTATGTACAGCAGTGGTGCCTGGAGGTGTGCATGTATCGGCACATGCATTGAATGTAGTATCGTATTGATGTTACTAATACTATGGTCTGAGCAGTAAACCATGGTATCGTTTCGGTTTTAATACCAATGCCATACCACTTGTCAAAATGATAATTATTGTGCACATGGGGTGACAAAAGTTAAACAACAACCTGAACAAAACATCATGGGACTGAACCAGGGAGTCGTCAAATAATTTGACGACTCCCTGGACTGAACTGTACTGCTGTGCGGATTCTGCGAATAGTGTGAGTGTAGAGGAGACGGCTCGATACCGGAACGTTTTGACAGCCAAATTTGTATAGACCCAAAACGATCATCAACGTTGATTTTTCACTCGAAATATGTTTGTGGAAGGAAACTGGCATGTTGAAGTTTGCTCTGGGGCCAGAGTCAATCGAACTGAGCCACTCCTTTGTGTTGACCCATTGCCTCCAAGTAATTAGTTGCCCAATTTTTCGCTTCAAAAAAGTTCAAATCAGAGGTGGCTCCAAACCGGACACGTTTTAGAGTGCCCGTCAAATTCACTCTGGGTCTGAAATTAGGTAATTGCTATCGCTCCACGACGGCCAGTACAGAGTAACAATAAGCCTTGTGTGTGCTTCCATTAGTTTTGATTGGTATGCGGTGCTTTATTGTCGAGAGGCGAGCCGCTGTTTACCTGCGACAAGAAGTTGATTTTTCGAAAGTCGTAAAACTCAAGTCGCAGTGCGAAGCAACACGTCAAAAACTCACCTGCTTGATATGGCGCTTCTGGTCATCGCAGAGCCATGAAATTTTGGCTCGGAGTATAACACATCGTAGTCTCACTGTGACATATGTTTTCTAATCAAAATACCAAGAGAGAAAGTGAATATTGAGTCCGTTCCGGTTTGCAACCTATTTCCTATTTGAAACCGTCGCCTCTACAGTTGTACGAGTGACAAGATTCTTTCTGAATGCATGTGTGCAGTGTGAAGCTGTTCTGCTACGTCCTGAGTCTAGTCAGCTGACAGAAAGCGCACGTGTGACTCTCCAGATGGCGGGAATTTTGGAAATCCTCTTTTCACACAAAACATCTGCATGATCAGTGATCGACAAAGATCGAAAAGTTACTTCGTGTTCGTGTTTTCAGTTCATGCGAGTGTCAATATGTAATACAGTGTATTTGATGTTTCATTTGCTCACCACCTCAACTTGATGCTCTATTGCATGCTTGCACTCGGTTTATGATCAATGTTCATATAAGTGACAACAGCAACGAGAATCGTGGGACACACTTTGTACAATTGTAATTTGTTTGCTGAGGAACGATTACCCAAACGGATTGGACTGTAGGACGATATGGATGGTACGTATAGACATCCTGCTGAGCACTCATGAACGTATAATTATGCCTAATTCCTGCCACCACTCCCTGTTGCTTGTTTGTGTGTCATCGTCTGACCAACAGATGATGCAGAGTTACTTGCGTCCTTGATAGATGATCAAGACACTGATTGTGACAATGACAGTGTCCCAACTAGCATGGCAGCTGATGCTATACCATCATCAGTTAGTAGCTCCAGTTCACAACAGGACTCGAAGCAGGCTAACCTTGACGCCATGATGGGTGAGGGAAATTGTTTGTTTTGAAATGCAAAAGTCCAGAAAGTGAATCATGATTTTTAAGTTAAAAGCCAATGTCTCTGGCATTTTGGGTAAGATAATCGTTTTCAATCCAAGATCAGGAAATGATTTGAACAAGCTGCTTCGACTCGAGTTAAGATCCGTTATAATTTCAGTTCACTCTTGCACCAGCAACATGTTTCAAATAGGCACACAGTCAATGTCTGTAACGACCAAATGTCACCGGACATGGCCAAATTCGCTCAAAATTGGCTCCTTTTATCCCAAGATGGGCCTCATTCACCCACTAATATGGCACTATAACAGTTTGGTCCAGAAATCCTCCGTTCTTTAGATATTGACCAAAATCAAAAATCGATAAAAACACAAACTGAAACACCTTCGAACAAAGTACAAGAACGAGGGGTCACTGCCGCTCACAACAACACAGCGCAGCCAAACCGACTATGTTCGCACACCGATCCAAGTCACCTAGTATTGTTTAGCCATCCAACTTTCGACTGGCGACTTGCTGAGTCCCTCGAACGAATCGATCCATTCAGCCTGTCCAATGGCGGCCATTAAAGGGGAAGTTAAGGCAAAAATTAAAATTTCACCAGTTGTAGTCTTCGGGGTGCTGAGTTGAATGGTCTTGGTCCGAGGAAGCTGAGACGCTCCCTTCCTACTTGAATCCCAATCGAACTCGCGCACTTCCACCGAAACTGGGTGACTGCGCCCTACGAGATGGGGATTTGTATGCAAAATGTCACTAAAAGCGCCATTTCGTTCTTATAAAAGCACGGATGACCGCGATTGGCCCATATGTTGTAGTCTTTTGGACGCTGAGTTGACTGGTTTTGGTCCGAAAAGGCTGCGATGCAGCGTTCCTCCTTTATTCCCAATTGAACATGGTTGAACAAGTGGTCACGTGCTCCTGGGTACCCAAATCACCTGGTCACCACGCCAGCAGGTGACAACTTTCACACCAAGGTTCAACTCGAGTTCAACTCGAGTGACAGGACTGCACCCAAAAAAAGGTCAAACAGGCTAGTAAGTTGTACCCTGCAGGCACGGTGACCAGGTGACTGGCGTACGCAGGAGCACGTGACCGCTTGTTCAACCATGTTCGATTGGGAATAAAGGCGGAACGCTGCATCGCAGCCTTTTCGGACCAAAACCAGTCGACTCAGCGTCCAAAAGACTACAACATATGGGCCAATCGCGGTCATCCGTGCTTTTATAAGAACGAAATGGCGCTTTTAGTGACATTTTGCATACAAATCCCCATCTCGTAGGGCGCAGTCACCCAGTTTCGGTGGAAGTGCGCGAGTTCGATTGGGATTCAAGTAGGAAGGGAGCGTCTCAGCTTCCTCGGACCAAGACCATTCGACTCAGCACCCCGAAGACTACAACTGGTGAAATTTTAATTTTTGCCTTAACTTCCCCTTTAATACGAAGGTCATCTTCAGCGGCCAGTAGCAGCAAGGACATAAGCCCTGAAATTGGGGGTAGCCCACCACCATAGTCTGCTACAACATGTCCCCAAGCGCCAACAAGTGGTCTTGAATAAAGTTAATCACTTGGGGAAATATTATGGGAATAACCCCTGCCCTCGCAGAAACTCGAATGAAGCCACCACAAAGCGTCACTTGCTGAACAACAACCCACCATGACGGGAAAGAAGAACTGGTCCACAATAACAAATCAGCAAGGACTGAAATTGGATTAGTCGATTTAAAAAATGGTTGCCCAATATCCCAGGAATGGAGGGTCTCTGGACCAAACTGTCATAGTGGGTGTTGGATAATCACAAAGTCAAAGGGAATGTATTACATGTCGGGAGACCATCAATGAGCCATGGTAGCCGGCGGGTGCAACAAGGAATGTAAGACAGAAGTTAGAGCAACGAATACCATGCATGCTCTCACAAGCTGTTAGATAATCACGACCGCCCCAACTCACTCCCGGACACGCACTCGCAACAACGTCCACAACGAGTTCTTTGGCGAACAGTGTTCATATAATTATTGGAGAAGAAGCAGAGAATGTGGGAGAGCGAAAAACACAAGTTTGTTCCACGGCCAACTCTAAAAAACTAACTGGAACTGACGTAGTTCTTCGTTGTACGCACTGTACGCATGAGAGCACGCGAGTTGCATGCCAACGCGCAAGCGAGCAATAGATGAACATGAAACGGACACCAGAAGTAAAAGGATCTGGCGGTGACACAAAGTCAAAGGGAATGTATTACATGTCGGGAGACCATCAATGAGCCATGGTAGCCGGCGGGTGCAACAAGAAATGTAAGACAGAAGTTAGAGCAACGAATACCATGCATGCTCTCACATGGGCGAACAAAGTCCACTCAGGAATACAAGGAGCCAACTTTGAGCGAAATCGGAATTTTGACCATGGCAACGGTAACGCTATTTTTTTTACGGTACTCGTACCTTGATCAACCATATAGCGTTGAAGCTGCAACGTAAAAAAATTATAGGGGCTGATTTATCGTTGTGACAAACGGTGCGTTTTTTGGCCAAATATTGCGTAGTGCGTACCCATTTCACCTTGTATCGCGTATGTGGCGCCATGAATGGTTGTACTGCACGAAATAAAAGCTATTCTCATGGCAACAGCGTACTAAAAATAGCGTGCATCTTGCTAAAGGTCGAACCCAAATCTCGGTATTGTTCCCCTTACGGTAATACCCTTACAACATAACGTTTTTGCTAAGGGTGTCTATTAGGGGCCGTCCAAGTTTACCGATATTATTTTCAAGACGAAATGTTTTCGTTTGGGGTGGGTGGGTTTTAGGAGTTTCGTTTTGAAAATAATTATTGAATGTACATGGAGAATGCCCTGTTACTTCTGGGTGCCGAATATTGAAATCAACATTTTGTTGGACTGCGTTTTACCTCCAGAAAGGGTGGGTGGGTGGGGGTTGAAAAATACTCTAATTTCAGAAATATTTTCAGTATGAGAGCAAAAAGCTAGGTTAGGTGAACAGAAATTTCGGTACAGAGAAGCAGTTCCCTATTGGGTTATGTGTGTTAGTGTTTGTTCGGTGTATTGAAATTTTAGGTATGAAACAGACGCACCGAAAGTACCGAAAATAAAAGTACACCGAAAATTTGTGAAATTACAGTACTAAAACGTTTCGTTTCGCAAAACATTCGGTATACATGCCGCCAGGTTCTGACCAAACAATCTCAAGAAAATGAGACTTCCCCACAGTTTTGGTCCTAGCCTCCATTCCTCACCATACACGTGATCAGAGCGCAAACAGGTTCAGATAAAAACACTTTTATTGAATTGACATGTGTGATTCAACAAAGAGGCCGCACATCACGAGGACTTGTCGGGGGTAGTCGGCAAGTCCGTTGGTGTTTCCGTGTCCTTCTTACTAGACGCCTTGTCTTTTTTTGGCTTACGTGAGTTTTTACGAGTTTTCTTTCTCGGTGGCTCTTCGGATTCGTCAGTGCGATGGCCGGCATGCCGGCCCAATATCCGAAAGGATATCACGGACAGAAATTCCAAGTCTTCCTTTAGCTTCCTCAGGTGTCGCCCTTGGTCAGGTCGACCCACGCCTTCGAATAGAGCTATTGCCCGTTCCAAACACTGCATGGTCGGAGTCTCCTGCCCCTGGCCTGCTTCCTGCGTAAGGGAGTTGATCTCCTCGATCATTTCCTGTGCCATTCTGGATAAGACAAAAACGCCACACCAGAAAAAGAACCGAGGATTAGTTCACATTGAGTGACGGATCCTGGTCACAGCACCAAATGTCATGACCCGACCCCAAGGGTCAGTCAAAAGCCTGCGTTGCGAACAACACCAACTAGGACCGCCACGAAGTGTGAGCAAGACCCAGAATCCCAAGTGCACAATACATGCACGCCATCACTCAACAGCCCACCAAGAGTTCCATTTCCAAGAATATACCTTGTAGATAGGTCAAAGGTATAGTAAGAAAGAGGAGATCAAGATAGAAGCAGTACCGGAGCGAGAGGACGAACGTATAAAAGACAGGGACTTATATTCATAACAATAACTAACAACAGCCAATCAGAGCACATACTGTACTCACTAGTCACATTAGACGGCGGGACAAGGGGACAAGTAACGGACAAAGCTAGGTTCATAATAATTGAACGCCTCATAACGGCGGGATACAACATGCAAGAACGGAAGAAGATACTAGTAGACTATTACAGTTAGAGAACAAGGCGCGAGATTATGCAGTATCGTAGCAGTTGTATAATTATGTAGTAAGTGCGTATAAAGGCTACGTAGTAGTAATGATGTAGTGAGTAGGAATGATGTAGTGAGTAGAAGAGATGTAGTGAATAGAAAAGATGCAGTGAGTTACCGTACTGTGCACATGTGGTGCTGGCACGACTCGTACTCATCAGTCAGCTGAGCGCTTGTCAGCTGGTGCTGGCCCCTCGTCTGCCAGGCTGGCTAGGATGGCTGCGCGTCGTCGACCTCGGGTCACGACACATCGAATGCATGCTAGAACACTAACTGATTGTGGACGAAATAGACAGTTCGGATATGGCTGCCTCTCTCTCTCTCTCTCTCTCTCTCTCTCTCTCTCTCTCTCTCTCTCTCTCTCTCTCTCTCTCTCTCTCTCTCTCTCTCACTCATAAAGCATGCCTCACTGTGAGATTATTATTATTATTATTACTACGCACACACTCATGGCCAAGACCAATCAAGGAGGAGGGGAGGGCGATTATAGCCAGCCATGGCAAGATGTGTACACCACAGCAGAGTACTGTGGATCTGGCATGATACCACTGGCAGATTCAAAACAGTAGGAAGGCACACTCTTATTACCATTACCAGAGCATTTGCTCTGCGGCCGACCTCATTCACAAACCTGCAACACAACTGCTTCTATTCCGGTACTGATCCTTCAGACAGCTGTTTCAACGGTGAATATTGCCTGGCTAGATTTTCTGAGAAGCACTCTTTATGTTGATAACAGCTGACAAATAAAGCAGCGCATTACACACTTTAGGATGGCCATGATTGTTAAAACTAGGAGAACACCGAGTCATAGTTCTCCGACTTAAGTTTTAGCACTTATGGCTATCCCAAAGCGCAAAATGCGCTGCTTTATTTGTCAGCTGCTATCAACATAAATGGGTGCTTCCCAAAATACCCGAGACCTGTTAGGTTGAAACCGCTGCCTGAAGGAACAGTGCCGGAATTGAAGTATAGTAATTGTGTTGCTGATTTGTGAGCAGGGTTGGGTGGAGAGAGGTTTCTGTAGTGGTGCGAGTGCACCGTCTGACTAAACCCAGGGGTTGAATGTGTTGCCTGCCCATTTCATATCAAGATTCAAAAATATTTGAATGGTGCTTGAAGTAAGAATGTGGATGGTGCACTGAGTCCTGGCCATGTCAGACTGATGTCGGTGGGGCTACAACACACGGCGCCTGCCTGTTTTTAAGCATTGTTTACGTAGTATTGCTCAATCTCTATGTAGGATTATATCTTTTCTTCTTCTGTCTGATTTATCGTAGCGAAAATGGCTGAAATGCAGCAGCAGATTTCAACGCTTCAGTCGCAGTTGGCTTCGAAACCAAGTGATGCAGGTAGTCGACCGATCATGCTTTCAGTTTTCATGTGTGCATGCATGCATGCTCTTACTGCGGTGCGGTGAGCCAATAAATGAGATCATTGCAAGTTCACCCAGAATTTGGGAGTTTCTTTTGTGGTCAGCGGCTGAGTGATTCAATAGCCAATTGAGTCATCTTTCCCGGATATTTTTTCAAATTCTCCCTCCTCTGCCCTGTCCCATGGAGACCCACATGTCCGGTTTCAAGTACAAGCGCGCGCGTGTGTATGTGTGTGTGTACACGTGCATGTGTTTGTACGTGTGTGTTTGTGTGTTTATGTGCGTGTCCGTATACGTGTATGTAGCTGTGTGCCTACATCATGCTTGTCTCTAGCCACTTGTTTCTGGGACTGCACTAGCTGTGTGCCTACATCATGCTTGTCTCTAGCCACTTGTTTCTGGGACTGCACAACTGGTACTACTTGTGCTGCTGGTGTGCTTCATTGTTTTAGTATACTCTGCTCATTCAATACTGTGGCACAAGAGTAAAAATGAACTCTGTACCTACACTATGTTCTGCCCTTCAACACTCGTTGAATGCGGTCATTTTATTTTTCTATATGAAGTATATTAGCGCCTGAGGATGTTTAGATGTACAATGGAATGTAGCTTGCTGATGCAGACATGCTTTGTGTATGCTAACTGTTCTATAGGAAGTAGTCAGCAGAAGTCGACGTCAACATCAACTGCACAGCAGCAAGCGTTGCGGGGCGCTCAGCAGTGTCCTGCAAGCAGTCCCGCCGCTCGACCATCGCCTGACGCTCTGTTTCGGCAATCTGGCGGCAGAATGGCACATACTGGTAAGGCTGTAGAGATTGTGCGGAAAGAGATCTATTGTGTTACTTGAAGTACTACATGTAGTAATAGTAACTACAGTTGACACGTCACTCATGCACTCATGCAGTCATGCAGTCATGGACACATGGAGACATGGAGACATGCAGTCATGGAGACATGGGCTTACCGCATCTGTCAGGGAATTTCAGGCAGAAGAGTCAACAACATTCATGCACCTCGATATCGTTAGCAGTAAAGAACAGTCAAGCAAGTTTATGTTTCCACAAGCAACAGCCTTTCTCTTGTTCTAGATAGTAACACCTACTAAAAGCGTTATTTCACTCTTTGGCTGCTTGGTAGATTGTCAACAACTCGTCAGTTTTGTCTCTTGGTTGTCTTTTGTTATTGCAGTACATCACACTCTTGTTTGGTTTCTTTACACTTGCACCTTTTGTCATTCCTTGATGTGCGTATGAGGTTATGCTTTCTACCGTGTTGTTTTGGCTACTATTCTTTTTGTGCCATTGTTATCACATCACTACTGTTTAAGATTCATCATGCTCGGTTGTAGTAGAATACTACGGACCTGGCTCGCTCACACAACGTCGTCTGGAGAGTCTAACTCAAAAACTAATCTTTCATGGATATGTTATGCATTATATCATGTCATGGACTACGGAGCTTAGGCTAGGATCAGTACGGTGCTTGCACATAACAGACAGCAGGCTGACCAGGAATAGAAAGCTACATTACACAATGTGTCGGCAAGAACATCAGCAGACCTAATCAACCATAATCAACTATATTTCTAAGGGGTCGTCACAAGGAGGGAAATCTGGCGACCATCTGGTGGAATAGCGATACCTACACCTACATAGAACACCAAACAATGCACATCTATGGTTCTAGCACAAGCACGGCAGGGCATGTACCTGTCAGCAGTACGTAGTACAGTCATAGTCATACATAGATGTACCATGCAACTGAGTTACTCGCTAGTCAATGCAGGACATGCAAGGATGGCACCTTGTCCAGTACAGTACAATCACACCCCTCTCCTAGGTGACATCTCCACTCGACTCTAGCCACTGTATCTAGCTGGACGCGCCAAGGTTCCACGGTCACGTAGGTCATAAGCCGGTGCAGGGCGATCGTCGTCGTCGTCGTCCGCTGGCTCCGGCTGGTCAAGCCACATCTCACCATCACCGTCGTCACGCCCATCGTCGGCGCTCGTGTGCGCCTGCTCCGTCGCTCCTGGACGCGGAGCACCATCCTGCTTGGCACTCTGTGGGTGTCGTACGTCAGGCTTGAGAAGGTTGATGTTCACGACTTTCTCCCCGCCATCATCTCTGGTGATGACTACTGTCGACGGCGCAATGATCTTCTTCACTTTCCAGCCGCACTGGTATGGCGGAGTCAACTTGCGTCGCCGGCCAGGCTGTTTCAGCATCACACGTTGCCCCTCTGTGTAGGGTGCCTCGAACTTGGTGATTGGCTTCTCCGGAGTCGTAGCAGCAAGCTCCACCTCCACGTGGTCGCGGACCCTTGCTGCTGTCTCGCCAACTCGGTCAACCCACTCGCTCAGTAGGGCTTCTGGTTCCTCAGCCTCGATGATCAGCTGGCGCGGCTGCCATGAACACATGGCCAGCATCGGCGGTATGGCTGTCGTGGTGTGTGGCCTCGTGCGGTAGTAGTAGAGCAGCAGATCCAGCTCAGTTTTCCAATCTGCTGCTTCTGTGAGGACCTTCCGCATCAGCGTGATGATGGTCCTGTTTGCCCTCTCGACACCTCCCTGCGACTGCGGGTGACGTACGGCCCCTGTCTTCACACGCACGCCGAACCGTACGAAGAGAGCTCGGACAACGGCGTTCTTGAACTCGGAGCCATTGTCCATACGGACTTCGTCTGGCGGGCCCCAACGGCAGCAGAGGCTGGTCAGCGCTTCTGCAACACTGATCGCATCGTGCCGCCTGAGAGGGATTGCCTCGACCCACTTCGTAAACACATCCACGCACACCAACACGCAGTGGTACTGACCGGATTTCTCCTCTCCCAGGTGAAGTGTGTCGATCTGAACGACACTCCACGGCCGCCCAGGCAGGTCTGGCTGCGTCGGCGGCGCTGCGGGTCCTGCGTGGCTGCTAGCGGCTGCACACTGTCGGCACTGGTCACAATACTCCCGGCACCTAGCCGCCATGCTGGGGAAGAAGCAACGTGCGCGGAGCATGTCGTACATCACACTCCAGCTGGCATGCCCGGACATCACGTGGGCCGACTCGAGAACGCTGTGCTCAAGGCACTCCGGAACGATCGGCACAGTGACAACGCCGAGTGCAGGCAGCTTGAGCGTGCGGCTCAGCTGGCCGTCCTTGATGACGAGCTGTTCACGAATCTTCCGGTAGGTGGCGTGCTGAATCTCGCTGTCGCTCTCGATAGCACTGACCAGCGTCTGAATCAACGGGCACTTCCGCTGGGCATCACAGACGTCGTCACAGCCAATGACGGTCGCCGGCTGCTTCATTGCCATGGACGCGGCAACTTCCGGAGATTCGTCGCTCTCGGGAACGCGAGCTATTTGCAGCCACTTCTTTGGGACACGGGTCAGTCTGTCAGCGACATTCTCGTTCGTCGGTACCCAGCCAACTGTTACCTTCAGGCCAGCCGTTGCGACTAGGTCTTCAATGATGTCCAGACGGCGCACAACGAGAAGCTTGTGGAGGCCAGTGACCCTGACTCGTCTGACGTTCCCGAGGACCTGCGACACCCAGCCTGCAACCGCCTTCGAGTCAGTCACTAACGTCACCTTCTCCACCTTGTACTCCGCGGCGAGTGTTAGCGCCCTTAAGACGGCGTCCAGCTCGGCAATGTTAATGTGTTTGTGGTCACGTGGCTCGCGCAGCCACGAGCAGTCTTCGATCGTAGTACCATCGTGATGCAGGGAAGCTCCAAATGGCGACGTCCGACGCGTCGCAGAACACGGTCCAGCCGTCGCTATCCAGCGATGGAACACGCCACGCACCTCTTGCAGGGTCTGACTCCCGGACCATGTCGGCCAGCTCTGCGCAGCACCTGGCGACCGCTTCTGGCACGGCGTCATCCCAGCCATCAGCTGAGCAGGCCTGCCGCTTCAACCACGCACATGCCGGGCGGAGCCACGAGCACACTGGGTAGTGGCTAGTCAGGCGTCCCGTCCACTTGAAGACCTCACGCTTCGTCAGCGGCTGTTCGAAGCCAAGGTTGACACCTCCTCTACGAGCCCAGTTGACCGTGCCGTCACTTTCCTTTGACAGTTGGAGACCGAGAACTCTGGCCGCGGTGAGCGGTTCTGCGGGCTTGGTCGGCAGACCGTAGCGGTGAAGAGCGGACGTCACAGCTTGCTCTTTCGCTCCCGGAACGAGCACATCGTCGACGTAGCTATCAACATCCTGCCACTCTCGGGTCACCCAGCGGACGATGATGTCCATCACCTTGGGCGCGACGGACAGGCCGAAGCCCATCCTCGTCATTACGTACAGCTTTTCTCGCCAAACGACAACCTGGTAGCGGGCGAGCGACGGGTCTACATGAACCTGGAGATAGGCCTTCCTGATGTCGATTAGCTTGCACTCTTGATCGCCGGCCATGCGCCACTTCCGCAGTTTATCGGCGCAAACGGGCGCCTCGGTCCCCGGATTGGATTTGATGACACCGTTCAGTGCTCGGTAATCTAGACACGGCCGGACTGGGGTAGAGGCTTTGTGTTCTTGGACCTTGGCTAGCAGAGGCAGGATAGCTGCCGGCTCCCCGTGTACGGATGGGTCGTGCTCCATCAGCCAGCCGTTCTCCACCCAAGCATCGACTTCGGTACAGAAGCTGGCTTCCTGCTCCGGCGACAGCCGCTTCCGAGAATACTGTCAGATGCCGGAACCGATCTGTTTGGTTGGCGGTTCATCATCAGCCCACATCCATCGCACGATCCAGCGCTGGCTTGCGCTGTCCCACCGGACCTCGCTGTCGTCCGTTCTCAGCACCACATCCTCTCCGTCCTTGCTCACAGTCACGTGCCGAGAAGGGTGAGCGGCCGGCACTGTCGCCGCCACGATGGCAGGACGGTCAGTTTCTGGGGCGCCGAACTGGACACTCGACAGGGAACCATCGTCACCATACCCGAGGTGAACTCCTCCGACAGCCGCAATCACGTCAGCGCCAACGAGGACGTCTGCATTCACAGCGTCCAACTTCCGGACAACGAAGGCTTTCACTTGCGTCCGCGGAAGATGAACCGGGCAGCCCGCCTCTACTCGCTCTACCAGCAGCTCTACGGCTCCAAGCAGCTCGACTGCGCTGCCGTTCAGGGCGTTCATCTGGACTTCAGTGTCGGGTTCATACTCGATGCCATGGTCAGTAAGGAAAGCCTCAGCCACCAGAGAGCGTGTGGCGCACGTGTCTACTGCTGCCCTTGCTCTCTTCCATGCACTCGTGCTTTGGTCCCGCGGCTTGACATCGACGTACACCCTGGGCAGAGTCCCCTGTCCTGCCTTCGTCACTGTGCAGAGGCACTTGTCAGTGCTAGCTCCGCGCTCACCAGCAGCTGCAGCAGCAGTGCCGCCCTTCGAAGCCGCTTCCCATCGCTCACGTGCAGGGCAGTTTCGCTTGACGTGGCCAGGCTTATCGCAAAAGAAGCACGTGAGCCCGCGAGGCTGAGAACGACCACGCCGATCGCGGCTTCTTGAAGGGCAGTTTCGGCGGAGGTGCCCAACTTTTCCGCACTCGAAACAAGCCGAGCTGGCAACTGGCTGGCTCTTTCCACTACTGCTACTGCTCGCCGCCGCTGCCACTTCCTCCGAGGCTCTAGCTAGCAATCGCGAGTCGCTCTGCGCTGACCTCAGAGCTCGGATCGATGCCAAACACCCGCTCACGGAATGTTCCTTCGAGGCCATGGACAAGTGTAATTCCTTCGCGAAGGCGCTTGGCAATCCGGACACCATCTGTTCGATCAACAATGGGTCCTTATCATCGTCGGCGGCGTGCCCCGCCAGGCTCGCAAGCCTCTGTAGATCGGCCACGTACGCATCGGTCGACTCGTCTTCTCGTAGAGTCCGAGTCGTGAATGCACGGTACGCCTGTGCCTTCGTCAGGCTGAAGGACACTTTCATCTTCTCGTTCACCTTCTCCTCGTCCTTCTGGTCGTCGGCCGGCATCCGCGTGAATACCAGGAACGCGTCTCCATCCAAGAACAGTGGAAAGTTCTTCATTCGTTTCTCCGCAGTATCCCATCCTTGGATCTTGGCTAGGACGCTGAACTTCCCCCAGAAGTGTTCCCAGTCGTCCCCTTTGCCACGATACGCACGAACGAAGTTGTCGACCTTCAGCGATGCCATCGTAGATCGCTGTTCCTGCTGCTCCACCGCTAGAGCTTGAGCGTTTCCTGCGTCCTCCGCCGGTACGACGCTGTGAACCCTTTGCGAGAGATCCCGGGTTTCGGCACCACAAAAGCTGTAGTAGAATACTACGGACCTGGCTCGCTCACACAACGTCGTCTGGAGAGTCTAACTCAAAAACTAATCTTTCATGGATATGTTATGCATTATATCATGTCATGGACTACGGAGCTTAGGCTAGGATCAGTACGGTGCTTGCACATAACAGACAGCAGGCTGACCAGGAATAGAAAGCTACATTACACAATGTGTCGGCAAGAACATCAGCAGACCTAATCAACCATAATCAACTATATTTCTAAGGGGTCGTCACAAGGAGGGAAATCTGGCGACCATCTGGTGGAATAGCGATACCTACACCTACATAGAACACCAAACAATGCACATCTATGGTTCTAGCACAAGCACGGCAGGGCATGTACCTGTCAGCAGTACGTAGTACAGTCATAGTCATACATAGATGTACCATGCAACTGAGTTACTCGCTAGTCAATGCAGGACATGCAAGGATGGCACCTTGTCCAGTACAGTACAATCACACTCGGTCAGTTTCGTTGTTGCCTGTATTCCACCTGATGAGAAGACAGTGAAAGTACTGGTGGAAGTCATGAGCTTTGAGGATGTTGATTGCGAGGAGCCTGCAGCTTGTCCTTCTCTGGAGTTTTATTGCATTTTCCGCCGAGAAAACTGTTCTAGCTAGTGTTTGTGTAATACTTTTTTCATGGTTTTGCAGAAGAGTTCCAGTGAAGTGACAAGTCTCCCATACAAGCCACATATTCTTCGAGGGTACTGTGGAACTATTCTCACCTGTTCTCATCCATCTAAGATTCGAAATAACTGAACATTGCTTTGCTCTGGTCCATGCCATGCTGTGTTTCCCTTTGTCGGCAGTTTCCAGCACACAGAGCTCACAAGCGTCAAGTACTTCCCAATCCAGTCGTCGTCAGCAATCCAGTGAACGACGGCAGACGGCTACCTCCACATCATCATCATCGTCGTCGACTCAGCGCACTGGCAGTGTGCGGCAATCTGCTGATGACAAGTCAGTGAAAGAGATCTTCTCTGGCCTGCATTTAATGTAAGATTGCATCCCAGTATCACTCGTGACTCACGTTGTGGAGTGTGGCTGGTGAACTGTTTGTGCTGGTGTCTGCAAGCGTCATGCAAGCGTCCTCTCTAACCCATCCAGATGCTCTTGACCTGTGCGTATTTATTTCCTGCAGAAACCCTTCCATCTCATCCACTGTTATGAGCCAGCGCATGGAGAATCGGCGTATGATTCGGATACCCCGGCTGGTCAACGAGAAACCGTCCGACTCACAACTGGGAGACAGTTGGGTGACGATTGGTGTACTCATCAAGAAGAATGTCAAGCAATCAGCCAAGGTTCGAGAACACAGCATTTGCTGGTGTGCGTGCGGGGGGAGGGGGTGCACATCATGACCTGTCGTTATGGATCATAGCCACTGCTACAAGAGAAAACAAAGTGGTGTGCAGTCAGTATACCAGTCCCTGGAGATGTATGTGCTTCTCCTGCGTCAGGCGATGCATGGTAACATACACAGCGTGTGCATGGACAAACATGCCAGCATACATGATTGCAGTGATTGCTATTTAGCTATTCATGACATGTCTGGATTTTTGAACTTGGTCACTGATAGTGCTTCCTCAGTGTTCTTTTTTTTTGTTGCTAGAAAGCTCTCCTTGCGGAACTTCCACGGGGATGTTTTAACTTCTGTCTCATCTCTTTGCCTCTATGTCTCGCTCACCCACTCACACACGCACACACGCGCACGCACACACACACACACACACACACACACCACTTTCTGCTATCCTGTCCTCCAGGGAACCAATTATTCGATTTGGACTCTGTCAGATTTATCATCGTCAACAGCTAACTTCTCCTTGTTCCTGTTTGGCAAGGCACACTCTGAGCATTGGAAAATGTCCGAATGCACAGTGGTGGCAGTATTAGCTCCAGGCAGCATGGACAAGGCGGTAGGTTACCAACTGCTGAAGCAGCGGTTTAGCGTTCTATGTCATTGTCTTGTCTCTCCCCCCCCCCCCTCTCTCTCTCTCTGTACAAAAAAAGGATTGATTTGAAGTATTTTCTGCAATCAAGCTTGGACATACATGTAGCCTATGGCTTTCAACTTCAACACACGTAGACGTTGTGTATGTGTGTGTGTGTGTGCGTGCGTGCGTGCGTGTATGTGCGTGCCTGCGTGTGCGCACGTGTGTGTGTGTGTGTGTGCGTGCGTGCGTGCGTGCGTGTGTGTGTGTGTGTGTGTGTGCGTATGTGTGTATGTGCGTGCGCGTTCGTGCGTGTGTGTACATGTTTGTGTACGTGGTGTGTGTGTGTGTGGGTGGGTGGGTGTGTTTGGATGACTTGATTCGTCGCAACCAGGGCTCTGACGTGGCGTTCAAGATCGGTGAACCTGAGAAGCTGATGCAACTGGGCCAATCACGTGATGCCGGATATTGCAAGTCAGTTACTAAAGCTGGTAACAAGTGCCGCTCTATCATCAACAAGTAAGCCACATTATTACCACCCTGACTCTGGCCTGAGGCTTTCCCGCCAGTGTTTGTTGCCACTCGGACCATTGTTCTATTGGGGAAATAAGTTTATATCTCTGGAAACCATGTGAAACACCTTTCCCACCGTGTCCCGTTTGTTGGAATCTGTTGCTGTTTGACAGAGTTGAGACAGTTTTGGCACTCTTCTTCAACATTGTGAAACTCATATTGAGTAGGGTATGAACCCAGCAGTACAGTTTTTTAATTTTTTAATTTATTTTTTTACTAGCAAACACAGCCCTACTAATAATCAGGGAAAGAGGACAACTGAGGTGACACTGGACAACAAGACAAAGGGGAGTAGGGGCGATGTGCCAATGTGGTTGGCGAGGCTCATCCGACCGGAGGTCTCGGAATCATAGCCTATGCCCAGGCATCGATAGGAATGCAGCTAGGGAGGGGGGGGGGGGGGAGATCAAGTGAGAAAGAGAGAGAGAGAGAGAGAGAGAGAGAGAGAGAGAGAGAGAGAGAGAGAGAGAGAGAGAGAGAGAGAGAGAGAGAGAGAGAGAGAGCCACGAGAAAGAGAAATAAAATAAAATAAAACAGTAAAGAGATGATGGACGAGGGTAGTTGCTCATTGACGGGTGACACCGCCTCACAGGGAATCCGTTGCCCAGAACCAATTAGTTTGACGCAAGTGGCAGTGAACATTCATCTTGAAGGATTGGAGAGACTTCAACTGGGGCATCGGTTCCGGAAACATGTCTTGCGGCAGCCTGTTCCATTCATCCACTACACCATATGGGAACGAACGCTGGAGAAAGTTGGGGGCCGTAGGGAGGAGCACTGTTTGTAGCTGATGCTGATGGCGGACACAGAGCTGCGACCTTGTCCGTGGGACGAGGCTAGCTTCCTGGCGAGGCGGCAGGAGCGCAGCGAGGTGTGGGTGGTCTTGCAGGCACATCAGCTTGTATATGTACGTTAGAGCGTACACTTGGCGGCGGGCAGCTAGGCTCTGCAGCAAGGCGTCTGGACCAATGATAGCAAGGGCCTTCCGCTGTACTCAGTCGAGACTTTGCAAGTGAGAGTTGGCTGTGCCCATCCATATCAGTGGTGCGTATTCCAGTACAGGGCGTACGAAGCCTCTGTACGTTGCCAAGCTTCCTTCACGACCAAGGAAACTTGATGCTCGATGCAGAAATCCTAGCCAGGCTACAGCACGAAGAGAAACACTGCGGAGATGGCGTCTGAAGGTGAGTTTGCTGTCGAAGGTCACTCCCAGGAGCTTCAGCTCATCCCTGCAGAGAATATCATGGGCTCCGAATGTTAGGTCTGGGAGTGGCCAGGAGTTGCGGTGGTTGCCAATATGCAGCAGCTGCGACTTTGTTGGCTCAAAGCGAACCCGCCATTGTTCTCCCCAGCTACTCAATCGATCCAGGCTAGATTGCAAGTCTGCAATACTGCCAGCAGGGTCATCTCTGGATCGCATGATGGTGTACAGCGTGGTGTCATCCGTGTACACACCCATCCGCGTTGATTTCTTGTCGTCCAAACTTATGACTTGCTCTTTCAATGCAAAATAATTATATAGTGACAGCAAGTAAGTCTAAGAGGTGCAGAGCCAAATGTCCAAGCTCGTTACTACGAGTACAAGATAGATCCGCTCTTTTAAGCCCCCATTGAGAATTTCATGGACATATCTTTGCAGTGTTTGTCATGACTCGTGACAACATTTTAACGGGTCGCGAAGCAACTGACATGAAATACCCTTGGACGGAGAGCCAAGGATTAATTTATAGAAAAGAAAAAGGACCAAGGAACTACAAGTTACGCTGTAATGTCCACTAACACCGCCAGTTACTAAACAATCAGCTCATACGATATCATTGTACGACACTGACCGACCGTACTGACGTTCTACAACTAACTGGCTATCAGCTCTAGCACGTCAATGTCAATGCAATGGTATTGCATAAGCTGATTGTTTAGTAACTGGTGGTGTTAGTGGACATTATAGTGTGACTTGTAGTTCCTTGGTCCTTTTCTTTACTATACAGGTGGAATCCTGATAATTTGAATATGGCTTAATTCGAACATACCGCTTAATTAGAAGTTTTTCCAGGACCGATTTCTGTCAATACGATTCCCACATAAATTTTTCTGATAATTCGATGTTTTTTTAGAGAAGATATTCGTTTGTTTGGGGGGGGGGGGGGGAGGGGGTTTGGGCCCTGTTCGTCTCGTCTTTGCAGAAAAAAATATCGAACTCTATCTATGGACGGGTGCTGTTCGAACATGTAGTTTATGACCTACACAAAGTGAAAGTCAACCTCGTGAACATAGCCATGGCAAGGTTGTGCGACCGTGGCAACACAAACCTAGGTGTATGGTGAAATTAGAGTGGCAGCTGGTCACGTTTCATGAGGAAATTGAACTTCATTAAAAAATATCGATCCCTTGCATAAACATGTGTATGTTCGTTTTGAGGGGGGAGGGAGGGGGGTCTGGGGAGAAATGAACAAATATCGTCTTGAAAAAAACATTGATATTTACGGACGGCCCCTTACATAGAAAATGTGTGGGATTTGTGCTGATAATTCGAAGTTAGCAAAGTGTAATTCGAAGTTCACTGTACACTGTACTGGTCAGTTACGTTTGCATGAGCACGCTGTGCTGGTCAGTTCAGTATCCGTGAAATCTGTGTCTAAGGTCCATAGCGCAACTCTGTGTGACCATGAGAGCATTTTGACATACATGTTGTGTTGTGGGTTCATGTTTGGATAATTAGAATGTCCGGATAATTAGAAGTTTTTTGCTGGCATTTGGAGGTTCGAATTATCAGGATTCCACTGTATATAATTAAATACCCTTGATTTGCAAATCATGTTCGTATATGTGGTGTGCACGCGCACGCGTGTGTGTGTGTGTGTGTGTGTGTGTGCATGTGTGTGTGTGTGTGTGTGCGTATGTGTGTGTGCACGCGCGTGTGCATGCGTGTTGCTATTCTTGGTTGAGAATCTAGGTCAACATGTGAGTTCTGTGAATACCATGTGCAGGCCGAATACCGCCGTGTCAGTGCTAAGAGAATGGAGTGTCAGGGATCAAGGTGAGTTTAGATCCTACGTTGTCCGCGTAATTTACATGCAATCCCCTAGCGGAAACACACACGCACACACACCATTGGACCATTGGACGCCCATCGCCGGAGGCGATGATAGCGATGCTACAGCAGAAGCCGTAGCAGCTTGTGCTGGGATTGCACCATTCAACAGCTTGCAAGGTTGAAGAATTGACCGCCACTATTCAGCCTGGTCTACACCACACAGCTATGAAGTGGCTTTTTCTGGCCAGTGAATCCCTACTTCTTGGTCTTTTTAATTTTTTTTCCCGCACACACATCACACCACATACTCCGGCATGCACTGGCTGTTGGTAACCACCCAGGAGAATGAAAGAAAAGTCGGGAAGAGTCTGAGAAAGAGAAGAAAGACGTGTGTGACCATAATCGTCGGAATCGAACCCGCCACCTATCGATTGGAAATCGCTGCACATACCACTGCACCATGAACATGCACACACACACACACACACACACACACACACACACACACACACACACACACACACACACACACACACACACACACACACACACACACACATTCACATTCACGTCATCTCTGTGTACATCTCGATATATCCCACAGGCCCGTAGCAGCCCCATTTTGGTTGGTCCGACAAGATCCGACTTCGATGCCCCCCCCCCCGAGCCCATACTCATACATTGTGCCGGTACATGTACGAAATGTACATGATTGTATGTGTATGTACACGGACATATGTGTGATCGTGACCATGCAGAGTGAAATAGGGTGAGAAAAGGAAGAAGGACGTTCTGCATGAGTCAGGAAAAGGGCATCAGCATGTTGTGTGCGTCCAAACAGAACTTGTTGAAGCATAGCAACAGTATCTAAGTGCATGTGATAAAGAACCAAAAAATGTGCCTTTCGAGGAGGAGAAAGGATATCGCAATGGAATATCTTTGGTACAAACCCTATCTAGAAATAAGTGGAGGAAGAAAAGAATCAATACATTTCAAGAAGTACAGTGTAGGAACATTCACAGGCATGACTGTCCACATGACCTTCAGCAGGGTCATACTCCTGATGACATGTAGGTCTACTACCGGCACTACTATGTAATACCTATACTCTTGATACTACTTATTGCACACATCATCATGGGTGGACATCCTGAGCTGCTCACATGTGTGAGCTCCCGGCCTTTTTTTTTTTTTTTTTTTTTTTTGGCCGAATATTGGTCCGGCAGCTGCCGGGCCTGCCGGACCGCCTGCTACGGCCCTGTCCCAGTCTTATCGCGGTGTTGCTTGTCGTCTCCGTCGTTTCTGCCGCTGGTGTTGTCTGCGGTTATGCTTGTTCAATATAATTCCGTCAAACGTTCTTATTGCACTCAGGTTTAACTAAAATTAATTTTGTTTGCCAGGGTTTCTTCTATCTGTGGCTGCTATACTGTAAGTCAATAAATATTCAGCGCATATTTATTTTCGGCTATTTTCGGCCTGGTCATGTTTGGCCGAAAATTTGTTGCGTCCGAAATTTTGTTTTGCGAGTTTCAGTGTGACAGTGCATACAGGCGGCAGCAGCACAGACCGAAAATTTGATGCGGTCGAAATGGGTTTTACTTTTAGCCCTGGGAGACCGAAATTTGAATGGGCTGAACATTTGTAGACTTACAGTACCCAGTGATTTGATTGAGTCTATAGAGATTCACTAATACATGTACTGGTAGTTCTTCTGTGGGTGTTTGTCGTACCAGTTCTTTTCCCAATGAGGTCACTGTGTTTGTGTGTGTGTGTGTGTGTGTGTGTGTGTGTGTGTGTGTGCGTGCGTGTGTGTGCGTATGTGTGTGTGTGTGGGTGTGTGTGTGTGCACCTGTGTGTGTGTGTGTGTGTGTGTGTGTGTGTGTGTGTGTGTGTGTGTGTGTGTGTGTGTGTGTGTGTGCATGTGCTAATGTTCTCTTGTGTTTTAGCCAAAAGCCGCAGAGCAAGAACATCATGGAGCGTGTTATAGGTAAAAACAAGATGGTGAGCTATGGTGGACAGTCATATGGTGCGCCAAGTCGCACAGCACGTGATCTCCAAGGCATCAAATCCACAGGGCCCATGGCGAAGAGCAGCCTCCACCAAATGTCAGTGCCCAACTCCGCTGCTGCTCTCAAGGAGCTTGATAGCCTTCGCAAGAGCAAGCCAGCACAGCCCGCTACACGTGCGACAGGCCAAGTAATGTGCTCATCTGCCAGCAAGCCTAGTTCACAAGTCATGTGCCCATCTACCAGCAAGCCTACTTCACAAGTCTTGTAAGTGCTTACCGTATTATCTCTAATATAAGCACGGTCCTTTATTTTTTCAATGTACCTCCGCCCCGTGCTATTAATGGAGACGTTCCTTTATTGGAGACTGCTCCATTATTATTTCAACCTCATTTCAGAGGCATGTTGCCATGCCAAATTCATGTCAGACACACACATTTCAGGGTTTTTTCGCCGGTACAGATAATGAATTTACACAGTGTGCTTATAATGGAGACTGAGCACTTTATTTTTTGAATGCCGCCCCAAGGTGTTCTATTATTGGAGACGTGCTATTATTGGAGACTGTGCTTATATTAGAGATAATACGGTAACTCAGAAACTGTGTCTTAAGTCTGTTTGTTAATATCACCTTTACCTTGAATGATGTTTTGTTGTGATTCGTTCAACTTAACAAATAACGACAACTCGCAAGTAGCAACACTTTTCCCTTGCCCGGCCGAGGGCCATTATTTGGAAGACTGGCTGCGTTATCAAGCTGAGATTTTTTTACGATACATGTACTTTTTAAAAAGTATCGTCTTGTCTATGTATGATCACTATACCTACAATACTTTGCTGCAATGTTTTTTGACAAGAGCAGTATCTCCGGCTGTACAGTCAGACCTCGCTTATCCGGTCCTCTTTTATCCGGATCCCTCGCCATCCGGAAGAAAATTGTTGGTTACCGATTTACAGCATATGCCATGCATACATACAGTATGTGTGTTCGTTTATCCGGTTCCCTCGCCTATCCGGTTTTTTTTTGGGAAACGGATGCGTGTGGTTAAGCGTGGTCTGACTGTAGCTACTTCAAGTAGTAAGAGCAGCTGCCAGGGACTTATTTGTTCGGGTGATATCTTAATACACTGCACTACTATATTACCAGTTGCTACTGTTGCGGACATTGAAATCCGTTGGGAAGCCAAGCGGTCGTGGGACACTGGCCGTGCAGCTATGACCACTGCAGGTCCATGTTTACAGTGCTACGGTGTGTGTACGCGCTAAGCAAGTAAGGGCGCCGGCCCCGGTCATTCCATCGAACTCTTATGTCCACAGCAGTATATTCTAATGAAAACACTATCTTGTTTTCACTGTTCTCTGTACTGCTTGCTTCACATTGCAGCCAACAAATGATACAAGCTGATTCTCCCGGTGCACGCTTACTCCGTGGTGCACAGCGTTCTACAGGGTCAGGTCAGCACTTGTATGTACTGGAAGTAGTAGTAGATGCCTTATTGGTATATTGTCTATGGGTGTGATGTGTGGACTAAGGATGTAAGTGTACTGCTGTTAAGTCTACATTCTCAGTGCACGTCTGTGTGCGTGTGCATGTGCCTGCACGTGTGTATTTGTGTATGTGTCTGTGTGTGTGCCTGCACGTGTGTATGTGCTTGTGTGTGTATTTGTGCGTGTGTGTGGGTGGGTGTGCACGTGCATGCACGTTGGTCCTTCATTGGTGCTCTGTTTCTTTCTCTATGCACAAAGATAGAAAGGCAAGTGAAGCTGTATTGAAGCTCAGAGTTAGAGCACCTTTGTTTGCCCTTGTCTTTGTGTATACGGCTCTAGACCCAGGTGTATCTCTCTATCTCTGTCTCTCTCTCTCTGTCTCTCTCACACACTCACTCTCACTCCAAGTGTTTCTTTCTCTGTGTGTATGCTATGGTGGCGTGTCACAGATGGGGGTGATGGTAGCGGAGGTGATCAAATCCGTACTGCGCGAGATATGCTGTTTGATGAAGACAAGGAGCATGGTCACGTCAGAGCTGGTATGGGTAACTTGCCATATGAGAGCACTATCAAGTCAAAACTAAAGTCAGGAAAGAAGAGCTCCAGTCAGCAGTCAACACCCTCATCCCGTCCTGAGCTAGGCGGTGCTGGCAAACAGAGTCAGTCGCGCAGTTCTAAGTCTGCTTCAAAGTCAAGTCAATCTCAATCCGGCAGCGCATCCTTCTCCGATGCCTTGGGCAGCAGCAGTTCAAGCGGCTCAATGGCTGGCTCAAAGCGGAAGAGTACAACCTCATCAGCAGCTGGTGATAGAAAGCGTCGTAGTCAAGGTAGCTCAGCGTTATTTGATGATCATGTGGATATTCCTCTCGGCGGCGAGGCATTCTGTGATGATCAGATGACGATGCAGAGCGCATTTGACGACGATGATTCCTTAGATCGCTACGTCAAGACACCCGCTGTAAAGACGTGTACTCCTTCCACCGGTGCGCCTGTCCTTGGACGAGGTCTGGTAAAGGATGGCGAGGCGACATCATCGGCGGCAGCACCCGGCAGTGTTGATGTAGTCTTGCCATCGTCATCTTCACCCATGTCAGCGCCTACAAAGTCCAATGAGATCCACACAAGGCGGCAGCAAGATGCTATGGTATGCTTGCCCGGCTTGTAATCAATGCTAAGAAAAATTGCATCTTGTGTGTGTGTGTGTGTGTGTGTGTGTGTGTGTGTGTGTGTGTGTGTGTGTGTGTGTGTGTGTGTGTGTGTGTGTGTGTGTGTGTGTGTGTGTGTGTGTGTGATCATGGTGCTAGTGAAGCTTGTATCAGATCCATTCTGATTTAGCCACCCACACTAGTAGCAAGTATTACCTTCACTGGGGGCAGGGGTAACCCTGCAGTTGGATCCCGGGACGGATACCCTGATGCCGCTAATCCTTTTTCTGCACCTTGTCCTCACCCACTTGACTTACTGAGGTGTGGTGAGCCCATAAGTGGGATCATTTTCAAGTCCACCCAGAGTTTTGGGGATTTCAGGGGGTGTCGGCCGTTGGGCGGTTCAATAGCCAATTGAGTCATCTTTCCAAGATTCCTTTTGAGTCTCTCTCCCCTCTCTCGGGGAGACCCACGTGACCAGTTTTGGCAGTGAGCAACAAGTACAAGTGTGTGCACTAGCGCGCGTGTGAAACATGTTCACGTGTATGTGCGGCTATGCATTCGTGTACATACGTATAATGCTCCCAACCGGTGTATACGATCTCATTTCCCCTTTTGACCGTACGTTGTCCCAGTATCTGTTTTGCAATGTTAAAGTTTGTCAGATAGCACACATACATATCCCCTGTAAATAGCACACATACATATCCCCTGTAAATACCACACATACATATCCCCTGTAAATAGCACACATACATATCCCCTGTAAATACCACACATACATATCCCCTGTAAATAGCACACATACATATCCCCTGTAAATAGCACACATACATATCCCCTGTAAATAGCACACATACATATCCCCTGTAAATAGCACACATACATATCCCCTGTAAATACCTGGTCTATGTACTTTAAAAAGTAGTTCTTCCGTTTCCGATGCTTCTTCTACAGGAGCGTGCGATAACAGCTGTGCAAAAATCTGGCGGCTTAGCAACTGTTGATCCCAATGCTGTCCCTGGGAAACGAGCAGCAGTTGCTGGAAATCCCAGAGAAAGCCAGAAAAGCAAGACAGCAATTGCCAATGGTACAGTTCACGGTGTTGCAGTCAAGCCTTGCACTGTGTGTGTGTCTGTGTGTGTGTGTGTGTGTGTGTGTGTGTGTGTGTGCGTCCGTGTGCGTCCGTGTGCACGTGTGTGTGTGTGGGGGGGGGGGGGGGGTGAGTGCATCTGTGTGTGGTGTTTGTGGGTGGGGGGAGGATGGGACGGTGTATCCCGCTCGACACAGTGGCAGGACAGGCTCACCGGCGAGGAAATTGCAGAGCGAGTCGGACTCCCTGCAGACATCGGTGATCTTCTGCGGTGCCATCGTCTTCGCTGGCTTAGTCATATTGCCAGGATGGACTCCAGCCGTCTCCCCAAGCAGGTCCTCTTCGGGGAACTTCCATCGCGGTGCCGGCGTCATGGCCCCAGGAAGAGATGGCGTGATGTTGCTAGATCTGACCTGGCTGTAGCGGGGATCCCGGAAAGTGACTGGTATGATGTGGCACAAGACAGGGGAGAGTGGAGGAAGTTGTCGCGTCGTCCTCATCTTCCTCCACCAGAGCCAGTGAAGAGTTTTTAGTGCATGTGTGGACGAACATTTCGCCGGGCGGGTGACTTGAAGAGTCACCCTCCATATTGCTCAGCTCGCACGCTATCATCGCACTGGCGATGGGCGTCTAAGGTCCAAGGCGTGTGTGTGGGGGGGGGGGGGGGGGTGCAAGTTGCTGTGTCTAACATAGCGTGTTCGCTATCATGGCTTCAGCGATGTGCAGGAGTATGGAGTATGAGTGGGTGGGTGAGTGGGTGGGTGTACATGTGTAACTTACTGTAGGAATGGAACTGCGGTGCTCTTTTTAAAGGCTACTACAATTACGTGCACCATGTGTACTTCCAAGATTACATTGTACAGGTGGTCATGGATTATCCAACCACCTTGTGACAGACATACAGCGATTGTTCCGGATCAACAACGCCATCTCATGATCTGACACACTCCGGGGAGTCCCAAGTACACTATTCAGGGCCACATGTGCACATGACTTTAGCCTCGGCCCTGAATGTGCCTCCCCATGAGTGTGTGCAACTTTGACATGCAGTGCTGTCCTGAAGTTAACGTCAGTTACTTACTGTTGTGATGCAATGCTCGTAAGCGTAGTTTGTATGATGCATGACTTGTCTACTCGCACACAGGAGCTATATGCCCCCTAGGGTTATGTAAAAATACTCTTGGTTGATAGCACTTAGAGTTGCGAAGTCGAGTCCCAGCTTGATCTGGAATTGTTTTGTGTGAAGGATTTTTTACTCTTTTAGGAACTGCTGAAAACGTATCGCCTTGTATAAATCCTTGCTGAGAACCAGAGTAACGCTTGAAGTAGCTTTATGTCCATCCAGAACCGAGCGAGGTCCTCACTGCGTACATGTGTTGCACATGGGTGTGCATGCTTGCGTCTGTGTCTGTGTGTGTGTGCACGTGTGCCTATGCAGCAATTGCGCCGCCAGCAAGTAGCTCGAATAAGAAGAGAAGTTTGTCCGCACTGATGGAGATGTCTGATTCCGATGTGCAGCGTGTCAGCAAGGCAAAGTCCTCACACTATGACGAGGCAAAACTTGTAAGTTTGATACACGTGTGCTGTTGTTATGCACGTATGCTATCGCAATCCCAAGTCTGTATAGTACACCAGGTGCACAACCCTTGTTAGTAAAGACCAATCTACATTCTCCTGCTGAAATGTCCTCTATAAATCTGATTATGGCTTCAGATGCAGCATACTGTTGTAGCACAGTCGTGGCCAAAGAAATCCGACCCGCGAGTAAAAAGTAGCGCCGTGTTTCCACTTCAATGACATCATGCATGTTCCCAAAACTGATCCGAGGGCCACAGCGGCCGCATGAGCCTTGGCGCTGCTTTCGGCACGTGGGTTGGATTTCTTTGGCCACGGCTGTAGATAAAAACTCGTTGGAGCAGCACGGTCCATGTTGGAGGTAATAAAGAGGAGGTAGGATTGCAGGATCAGTCCCTTGTACTGAGACACGATTCACACATGCACATGCACACACACACACACACACACACACACACACACACACACACACACACACACCATTGGACCATTGGACGCCCATCGCCGGAGGCGATGATAGCGACACACACACACACACACACACACACACACACACACACACACACACACACATGCCGGCTTGTGTATTCCTGTTGAATTTCATGTTTTACATGTCTTTGCACTGCAGAAGAGCTATCTCATGGTGTGGGTGTGCGTGCGTGTGTGTGTGGGTGTGGTATGTGCGTGCGTTTCTGTTTCTGTTTTCATACTCGGTGCTTGTGTCATTAGCTCGAGCTGGAACAGCAGGAGAGATATTTCAATAAACTGGAGCGTAAGGAAGACATGGAGAACAAAATGAAGACTGTGATGGAGATCAAGGTCAAGGTGGTTCAGTGCAAGGAGGTGAGTGGTGCAGTCCTGTGAGCATAGTGCATCTCACGGAAATCTGTACTTTTTGCTGCGCTACCCTTTCCTGGGGGTAGTGTGCCATGTAGCTGGTATTCATTCAGGGGAGCCTGTCTAAGCCGATCGCGTAGGGGACCCAACACGTGGTCCCCGTATTGAAATGGTCCCCTTACCCATGCCATGCTCATTAGACTGGAACTGACACCCTGGCTTGGTCCTGGTTCCACCAGTCCTGTGCTGTGACAGGTGGTAACCATAGCGGTATCACTGTGGTCTCCTTGACAGCGGTTACTCTACAGTACCGTTGATCCAAGTGTGCTAACGTTAGTAGCTTGCTCATCCTGCTGTTAGTGAATGTACTGTTTTGGACATTGAAATCTGGTGGAATGACCAGGGCCGGCGCCCTTACTGCTTTGAGCGCGTACACGCACTGTAAAACGGACCGGCAGTGCTCGCGGCTGCAAGGCCAGCGCCCCTTGGCCGACTTCTCAACGGATTTCAATGTCCACAACAGTACGGATGCATTCATGATTGTATTTGTGTGCTGTTCTTGTTCTTGTTTTTGTTGTGTGCTTGTGTGTCTTTATTTGAATTTGAATACTGTGGAGATTTGATATATTGGCACTCCTTGGGGAAACAAAAAAGGCAAAAGCTGTCCGCGTTTTCAGTCTGTCACTAAATGCGATCTTCGGAAAGAACTTGCTGGCGGAAAGAATTGAAATTTTGTCGTAAAACTCAATTTGCCATCATGTTCACGGTCGTATTTAATTTCCACTGTGCGATCTGCTTTTCATTGGAGGGCGTGTATGCATGTGTGTGTGTGCGCGCGTGTGTGTGTGTGCGCGCGCGCGCGTGTGTGTGTGTTTGCGCGCGTGTGTGTGTGTGTGAATTCAGTGCTCGTATACAGCTGAAAGTGCATCAAAGCGGTGCTCCACAGAACACAAGGAGAAGCTGGTCTGGTCGCAAACGATGAAACGCTTTTTCGAGTGTGAGGGCTGCAAGCAACGGGAAATGACGTATGGAGGTGCATGGCCCACTGTTGTGTGCAAGTAAGTTGTGTCAGAGATTGTAACAGTGTCTGTTTGTGGAAATCTAACCGCAGTGTGTTGCATTCCAGTGTTAAAATCATTCCATTTTGAAGTCTCCCTTCTGCGCAAATTAGCAACTGGATATTTTCAGCCAGTGCTGTTCACATTGCTAAAGTGCACATTGTGCTGTTCTCGCTACTCTGTCTGAGTCACCCATGTGTGTTCACTGGTATGTCATCACCCTTGTGCGGTCACCCTTTTGCGGTCACCCGTGTGTGCGACTCTCAGTCATCCATATATTGGTCACCCGTGTGCGTCATCTGTTGGGTTTGATCTTTGATGCCTATTTTGGAGTGCTGTGCTTTAGATATGGTATGCATGTACAGTACTAGTACTAGTAGTTGAGATTGTCTGCTTCGTTCTATTTATTTGAATTTTTGTGGCCCTATTGTTGTTCTCACGTTTGGTTGAGCCTGAATAATTTTTTTTAGCTCAGCCTAATGTGAGAATAACAATAGAGCCACAAAAAAAAGAGAAAAAAAGATACAAAACTCCAATAGTCTGGGGGCCAAGGGTGAACATTCAATCCTTTCACTCCCGGTAGTAGCGCATCGACATGTGATGGCTCCAACTGAAAGAGGGGCTCCTTGGCAACGTTTTGACACCTTTATCTATCAGTATTTCGCTCAGGAACATCATGCAATAGCGCATTTTCTACCAGGGGCCTGTTACCATGGCAACGTACAGCTAAATTTGAATTATCTCAGTTGCAGTATCTACTATCTATTCCTTTCAGTCTGGTCTAAACAAACTTATGTGTAAGTACAGGGCAATTATATTCCAGGGAAAATGCTAGAGCAGCAACAATAAGACATTGGGTGACCAGGAAACTGCTCTTTGTTGTAGAAGTACAAAATTATGACAGACAGCATTGAGACAAATGGGAAGGTCCAAGCCATTCCGATTGCATTTCGCTGTGGTGTGATTAGCTCAATGGTTGAAAAAATAAGTAGCATGTGCAATATTTGCAATCAAATGTAAGCGTTTTTTGAGCAATAAGTGGCAGTAAACGGTACCTGATCACATCGGCAGGCATGCCAAATTTCAAAGGCTAGTTGTAGCCCATAAGTTAAGCAAAATGTAAAGTATGACATCATAGCAGGCACTTGATTGAAAAGTGGCAAATACTGCTGTTTGCCAATGGTGTGCTAGTACATCTATGTCATTTACTGTACTATGAAATATGAGCAGCATTGGAACTGAGACGCCAGTTTCCAGCACATCTATGAAAGACGACTATGGAACTGGACAGGTCATGTTATGCATGACAGTTAGCGAAGTCTAAATGTGCTCCAAAACTGGTGTGACAGGAGAGATTTGACCAGAGTTCATTGTTATTATGTGCATGTCAGAAAGTGTCCAGGCCAGAAAGTTCCACAGGAGAATAGGGACACTCAAGGTACAGCCACCTGTTGATGGCATGACGTCACCGGTTACAGGTACAGGCGCAGCAGCACCACCACCATCCTCAAGGCACCGGTTGCGTAGTATCCTTGCCGCATGATACACTAGGCGCACCTCATCCCAAGCGACTATGTCATTGTCAGCAGCTGATGGTGGCGTGCTGCTACTGCACATCTGAAGGTGCATCATCGTCACTGCACTCGCTGCTTTCTATATCTTCCTCCATACTGTCGTAAACAAATCGTCAAGTATACACTGCACATACTAAGTGCCACAAACAGCACTTGCCAGCCGACGTTGTGATGGCTGGCTGTAAGTCAGGGTGCTACCAAAGTCCTCGGCAAGTATCCTCTTGACCTTCGTTGTATTGGCTTTGGGCTCACCTAGCCTTAGGGAGCCATTATATATCTTGGCTAGTGCAGACAAGGCCGTTATATTTTTCGCCGACAGCAACTTACTCTGTACATGGTCCACTAGTAGTGAGTGTACCGTGTCCTGGGGAGAACTGCAGGGTGCTCCACTAGGCAGACTAGGTGCAGGAGCTTCCTCTGCGTTAGCAGCATCTTGTTTTAGCGTGCCGAGAGAGGACTGCCTGGTGTAATCCCCGTAGCAGAGCTTGTGGTAGTGGACTTCTCTGGCTACCAAGGACGACTCTGCCTGTACGGCTATCATAATTTTTTCATCCTTGCAGACAATAGCTACCTCGCGGAGACGAGATTTCGCCACATCCGTCAGCATCTGCGACGTTTTCTGCATGCTATTCCAATTCAGCATACATCGCTCCAATTTAGCACAGAAAATGCGGTGCTTGTTGCCCGGGCGAATTTCAGGTACAGCGGTGTTTTGCCGCGTGGAGCGAGTGCTTCTATCATTGTCACCCATCGTCAACAGCCGTTTCCACACCCTACATGATGATCCTTCGCCTACTTGGACCCAACTAATTGTTTATCACATCAACAACTGGTTGCAACGGTCTACTTCACGCAGGACCTTATCGTCAACTTTTGAAATTGAGCCACGTGGAGCACCACGTGCAATGCTTTCATGGATCAAGCAATCTTTGTGCATGTGTATGTATGTATGTATGTATGTATGTATGTATAACCCATAACTATTCTGGTCGTAGGGGCGTCATGTGTGTCATAAGGCAGCAGCAGCATAAAAAATAGAATAAAACGAGAGAGCTTGGAAGCTCAGGGCCCTGCGCTATGCTTTGTTGCCTAGCTCATCGTGCATGTTGTTAGAACTGATGGAAATGCTTTTTCCTTTGATTAGCTACATCATTGTATTGCAAAAACGTTTCAATGAGATACTGAAGTAACGTCTTCTGCATAGCTATGGGACCGGCGCTGACTCTGCCGATCACGGGCGCTCTGGAGTCGACGGGATGTCTGTCCTGACGTTTCCTGGGACCGGCGCTGACTCTGCGGATCACGGGCGTTCTTCTTCTTCTTATTATTATACTGACGGCAACTAACATCCATTCTGATTGCATTTACTCGTCTCCCTACTTCGTATTTCTTTCCAGAAAATCTCCCCATACAGCAGGGAGTCGTTTACATAATATGACTCCCTGCTATACATCTTCATGACTGTATATACGTTATAATTATTATGCTATCGGCCTACATGCGATTCCCGGGCTGGTCGACAGGCGGCCCAGCCAGCCTGCTAGTGGGATCTCGGCCTCGCACACAAATCCACAAAAAATGTTACTGCACTGAATGCATTCCCCCGATACACTTCGCATATATACTCATTCTCTTGATGGTACCGTACTATTGATGGTACGGGACAGGTATGGGATAGCGCCAGGCATGTCGATGGCACAAACAAACAAAAATATTGTGGCCAGCTGTCTTTGCTGGTACGGTACAGTATGGGACAGATACGGGATAGCGCCAGGCGTGACACAAACAAACAAACAAACACCAAATTAAAGCTGTGTGGACCCTGGCTAGCGCCAGACGTTACTGAAGTAACGTCTTCTGCATAGCTACGGGAATAAAACCTAACTGCACTGATAAACAAGCTGCCTACACCTATCACAATCAGCAGCAACGAGAGAGAGAGAGAGAGAGAGAGAGAGAGAGAGAGAGAGAGAGAGAGAGAGAGAGAGAGAGAATTGCAAGATTCATTCGTCCAGTCTTTGATATTGGTGAGGCAATTGTGACGGGGGCGACCACGGGGTCGTGATCCAGGTACCATTCCATCCAATAAATAGTGGGAGTAGCTATCCTGATTCCTTGCTACATGTCCAAACCACCAACTTGATGCGTTTAACAGTTGAATCAAGGCGTGTGAACGGGCCACTGGCATTCTTGACTTCCTGCAGTACTGACTCATTTGTGCGATGATGATGGTATTTGATGCCAAGCAACTCACGCAGATACCTGAGCTCAAAAGCTCTAATTCGATTTAGGCTAGCTTGTGAGATGGTCCAGGTCTGGCAGCCATAGAGCACAGTAGCAAGAACAATAGCAGTTACCAAGTTACCAAGCAGTTACCAAGCGTATTTTTATTTTTATTTTTATTTTAAGGGATTTTAAGGGGTGCATATGTACTGGGTCAAAATTTGAGTATGTGTGACAAGGAGATGGTGATGGCCGAGCAATGTGCAGCGAGAAAGAAGGCCGCTTCCGACATGGTTCCTGGTCGACATGTTGCTTGCGGATTTGACAAGATCGTGTTGAAAGCCCCTTCTGCCGTCCTCCACTGCGAAAATCTGGTGCGGTTTTACGGGGAGCGAACTCAGTAAAAATTCAAATTATTGCGCCTCGGCCCCCAGACTACAACTACTGTACTGGACACAATAACATTTAATATATTGTGTCCAGAAGTGGAGTTTGTGTCTCTGCTTTACCATTCTGTCTTTTGCTGTTGCCCTAGGAACTGATTGTCATGGCCGTTTCCCTGTGAACTGTCTGTCATGGCTGTTTCCCTGTGAACTGTCTGTCATGGCTGTTTCTCTTTTTCTGGCTTTGCTCCTGCAGGTGTGGCTTGTCCAACTATCGCCGTGTCTCCATGTTTAAGGTTAGTTTGTCACGATTGTTTTGTCACATTGTGTTGTTGCTTATCTCAAGCTGATGTGGTCTCTTTGTAGACAGGTTTGAATGTATGCAGTATCATGGCATGGTGGTTAAGATGACTGGTTACTCTTTTTTTTTAAAGCCAGGTGGTCTCTACTGGCAATGGTAACTTGTGACAGATGTTACTGCATGTCCTATAATTGTACGCGTTCGTGGTGCACCAAGGAAAGAATAAAACAAACGTAGGTGCTACTGTGCTGTCAGTGGGTGTGTTCCATTTCGCTCATTGATCAATTTTTGAATCCATTCATGAACAGTTGGAACTGGCGGAATCTTTTCCAAAATCGAATGACTTGAATCGCAAATGGTGTACTAGCTGTGCTAGTACTTGTTAGCAACAATCCGAACTAGCGCACACACTGCACTGCATTGCTTTGTACTGCATTCAAGACTGACGTCATGCGCTTTGTTTTGCTGCGTAATCACAAATGGCACCAGCCCATTTTGCGGAAAAGAAAAACAAATCTTGCTTGCCCTGTTGTGCTCTTCCAGACAACGGATCGTGCTTCAGCAGTGTTTCTTTTCCTTTCGTAGCTTTGCTGCCAGCCCGAGTGTCACCTCGACACTGTATTTCTTCAGTATGTCTGACCTAACTGTCGACACTGTCAAGGCAATGCCTTGCCAAGCCCCCGCGGCGAGCCTTCTCAGCGCGGCTTGAATCCGAAAGGAAACTTAGTAAAAGTATTTTACAGGACCGTTTGCTGGCACAACTAGCCCTTGGTAGTGAGGTCTGCTCCGGCCAGGAGAACCAGCAACATGACAGTGCGGACACGGCTGGCGAGCCCAGAAGCCCGACTTGCACCAATGCCTCCTCCGCCAGCTCAGGTGACGCGGGCTCAACATGGGATCTGCGCTCCCGTAGATCTACGTGACGAGGTGTAGTCGGCTTTGTCGGCCGCCATTTTATTATTATCGGAGAGCATTGTGCCGCTCCTCACCCAAGGCCAAGGCAATGCGGCTGCTGCCGCCACTACGCCAGGCCAAGCCCTTGTAACCCACCCGATCAGCCACCTGCACCAGCTGTGCCCAAGGCTGTGCAAGAACGTATCTTGCGAGGGGAGTTCGTAGATTTTTCAAGTTGGTTGCCTGAAATTCTTGCACACTTCCGGCCCAACATTCCGGCTGGTGCACAGCCCGAATAACGATAGCCAGCTAAATATCGTTGAGTCGGATGACCGTACGCGAAGCAGGTGCGTCGCAAGGTTCACGATAATTATACATGTAACTACCCGGCTCGAGGCATGGACCACATACATGTCTGTTATCACGGCTGCTGCCCTACACCGCACTGCTGAACTGCTGAACTGATTGCGTACCAGCAGTTGATCCTGACTGCTAACCGCCAGTTCTTCCCAAGCGCGTGGCTAGAGTACGACCGCCAGCTGCGGCTGCTCGTGGCCCAGTAACCAGGCACGAAGAGGTTGGACACCATCGACGTGAACCTATGGCAGATAGCTGTCACAGGCCATGCACACCCAAAATGCGCTCAATGTAAGACGGCCCATCCAGGGGCGGTTTGTGTCCTTTTCGTCCCCAAGCCAGCAGCATTTACCTCCAGTGGTCGCAACCATACCAGCGACAGCCAAGAAATCTGCCGCAACTTCAATGGAGGTCGCTGTTCTTCGTCGTCGTGCCGCTTCTCCCACACCTGCAGCCAGTGTGGCAAGGACCACCCATGCATCATGTGCAACCAGCAGCAGCGCGGAGCCAATCGGCCACCCCGCCGCTCCTAGCAGAATGGCTACTGAATAGCTTGACTCGGTACGTAGCTTCTTTCCTATACACTCTGCAGACACCACACTGCTAGCTGACCACTTTGCCCGCCTGTTACGTAACCACTCATATCAATAATGCGTTGCGTATGTTCTCCATGGGCTGCGCCATGGCTTTACTCTTGGATCTGCCGGCCAACACGACATTTCGGTTTTCTCTAATAATCTACCCTTGGCTTTCACTCACTCGGCATTTATATCCGAGCAATTAGCTGCTTCCTGCGCCCGCAGCGAGACCACAGGCCCATTTCCGTCACCTCCATTTCAGTTCATGCGCCGCTCTGGTATTGGTGCCATCCCCAAAAAGAACGGCAAGCTGCGAATGATCCACCATCTGTCTAGTCCGGAAGGCACCGGCGCGAACGACAGCATTCCTGCCGAGCCGCTCTCTCTGCACTACGCGAGCATTGACAACGCGATCAACATCATCATGTCATGCCCACAGCCTGCGTATTTGTCCAAGCTCGATGTACGCAGTGCATTTCGGCAGATCCCAGTCCGCCGTCAGGACTTCGCTGGGAAGGCTCCTACTACTACGAGCGCTTTCTGCCTTTCGGCCTCAGCTCCAGCCCAGCCGTCTTTGACTCAGTAGCCACAGCAGTCAACTGGATCATGCAGCACGAGTTTGCTATAGATCACCGGCTTCATTACCTCGATGACTTTCTCGATATCCCCACTGGTTTGGCTGCAGCCAACCAGCAACTCACCACCCCCCTCCGGGCATTCACGTATCTCGGCACTCCTCTTTGCTCCATCCCAGCTCGAGGGCCATCACCATCATTGACCTTGGTATTTTCCTAGACTGCGGCTACCAGAGGACAAGCTGTCCGAGATCCGTGCGCCACTCATGGCTACTATCAGCGAGCGCAGCATCGGCCAGCGTCAACTCGAGTCCCTCCTGGGGAAGCTCACTTTTGCTGCCCGAGTCATCGTCCCTGGACACACATTCATGCGTGAACTATGATCAGCGTGCCCTGAACTGTATCTGTGTATGCGAGTGCGGTGCATAAAGCCCACCTTGAGAATGGGTTTGCTGGCCCCTTAGTAGATGCGTGGCTTCTGGAGAGGGTGTTGAAGGGCATCCAGCGATGCCATGGTACGGCTGTACTCACCCCTCGCCTTCCTATAACCATGCCAATCCTACGACATCTGACGGATGCACGCCGGAAAAGTAGTATCCTGAATGGCCATGACAAGCTGCTCTACCAAGCCGCCATGGTGCTTCTTTGGATTTCTTCGGTGTGCTGAATTCACTAATGGCATCACACGGGGCTGTACTAGCTCCCCTGGTGACGGACGCTTGCAACTCTTCCTGCTTTCATCCAAGACGGACCCATTCGGTAAAGGCGTTACTAGTGACATTGGCCCGTCTGTACCGCCGTACTGCCCGGTCCGTGCCATTGTTAGCTACCCATTTGTCACTCGTCGCGAGGGACCAGAGCAACTCTTGTTCGTACTCTCGAACAGACAGCAGCTGACCAGGCAGTCATTCACAGTAACAGTATGGTCTCTTGTCGCTGCGGCCGGTGTACCATCCCAGTCGAACTACTCCGGGCATTCGGTCTACATTGGTGCAGCCACCACCGCTGCTAGGGCTAGTGCCCCCGACTCCTTCTTCCGAGTGGCAGGTCAGTGGAAAGAGCGATGCGTGTCTATGCTACATCCGGACTACAACAAGCGCTAAGCGCCAGCTATCGTCCCGGCTTGCTGCCGTGCCATGGATGCCATGATCCCCAACTCGGGTGAGTAATGAGCTACTGAACTCTAGCTGCGCAATGCTTGCCTGTGCTGACATAAATTGACCCTTGCTGTGCGTCAATAGTGCTTAGCTAACGGAGTGCTGGTTTCATGGGTCCACTCTCACAACTGGTGTTATCTAGCTATTTGCTGCGGCTCTGCCTTGCGCTATATTACATCCATTTAGCATTGCAGCTCTACGTTGAGCTAACAGCAGCTCTACTTTGAGCTAACAGCAGCTCTACTTTGAGCTAACAGCAGCTCTATTTTGAGCTAACAGCAGCTCTACTTTGAGCTAACCGCAGCTCTACTTTGAGCTAACAGCAGCTCTACTTTGAGCTAACCGCAGCTCTACTTTGAGCTAACCGCAGCTCTACTTTGAGCTAACAGCAGCTCTACTTTGAGCTAACAGCAGCTCTACCTTGAGCTAACAGCAGCTCTACTTTGAGCTAACAGCAGCTCTACTTTGAGCTAACAGCAGCTCTACTTTGAGCTAACAGCAGCTCTACTTTGAGCTAACCGCAGCTCTACTTTGAGCTAACCGCAGCTCTACTTTGAGCTAACAGCAGCTCTACTTTGAGCTAACCGCAGCTCTACTTTGAGCTAACAGCAGCTCTACTTTGAGCTAACAGCAGCTCTGCTCTGAGCTAACAGCAGCTCTGCTCTGAGCTAACACCAGCTCTACTTTGAGCTTCAAACCAGTTGTTTCGAAACCAGCACTCCTCAATCCAAAGATGCCTCTTTGTTGACTTGTTTGTGTGAGGGATGGGGCTAATGGTGTACTAGCTGTGCTAGTACTTGTTAGCAACAATCCGAACTAGCGCACACACTGCACTGCATTGCTTTGTACTGCATTCAAGACTGACGTCATGCGCTTTGTTTTGCTGCGTAATCACAAATGGCACCAGCCCATTTTGCGGAAAAGAAAAACAAATCTTGCTTGCCCTGTTGTGCTCTTCCAGACAACGGATCGTGCTTCAGCAGTGTTTCTTTTCCCACCATCCCTCCCTATCCAACTTATTCACACCATCATAATTATCGTACCCACTAATCGGGTCCACTCTCACAACTGGTGTTATCTAGCTATTTGCTGCGGCTCTGCCTTGCGCTATATTACATCCATTTAGCATTGCAGCTCTACGTTGAGCTAACAGCAGCTCTACTTTGAGCTAACAGCAGCTCTACTTTGAGCTAACAGCAGCTCTATTTTGAGCTAACAGCAGCTCTACTTTGAGCTAACCGCAGCTCTACTTTGAGCTAACAGCAGCTCTACTTTGAGCTAACCGCAGCTCTACTTTGAGCTAACCGCAGCTCTACTTTGAGCTAACAGCAGCTCTACTTTGAGCTAACAGCAGCTCTACCTTGAGCTAACAGCAGCTCTACTTTGAGCTAACAGCAGCTCTACTTTGAGCTAACAGCAGCTCTACTTTGAGCTAACAGCAGCTCTACTTTGAGCTAACCGCAGCTCTACTTTGAGCTAACCGCAGCTCTACTTTGAGCTAACAGCAGCTCTACTTTGAGCTAACCGCAGCTCTACTTTGAGCTAACAGCAGCTCTACTTTGAGCTAACAGCAGCTCTGCTCTGAGCTAACAGCAGCTCTGCTCTGAGCTAACACCAGCTCTACTTTGAGCTTCAAACCAGTTGTTTCGAAACCAGCACTCCTCAATCCAAAGATGCCTCTTTGTTGACTTGTTTGTGTGAGGGATGGGGCTAACGAGACTTTTGATCACATGCCTATGCCGTTGTACATTCAAGTGCTCGGTAAACTTCTCGTTTTGATTCTGACTTTCTTCTTCAGTATTTTCCTTCAACTGAATATTCCATTTTTCTGTTTGATGCTGGAAGCCTGGTCTGAAAAATAGACATGGGCGAGGTATTCCCTTGGATTTTGATGCTTTTCGATGATGCTGCTGCTGCATAATGATTTGACAGAAGAAATGCTGTTCCCTGCTCGGTTTGATATTGCTCCTCTGTGGCGAGTCTTTTTTGGCATCGTTGCTGGACTTGGAGTTATGGTCCTCCACCTGCCTGTAGACGCTCGACAGCATCTTCCGTTTGTTGTCACAATTGGCAGCTGACACAAAAAACTCCTTCCTTCGTGAGCGCCTCCGTAACATCTCGCATGGCGCGTGCTCGGCTGATGTGTTTGGTTTTACTGAAGTCTTACATTTATTTTCTGGTAGAATTCCTTCACCGGGTCTTCACATCCCATGAGCACCGGAAAGCGTCTGGTCTCCAAGTTCATACAAATCTTGGGCAAAGCCCTGGCTTGCTCTTGAGGTTGAACGCCATCGTCCATGATAAGGAAAAGAAAGAGAAAACGAAGATGATGTGGATTCTTTTTCAGCAACTAAAAGTGCTCAAAACAGGACAAAATGTTTTCAACGCGTGTCATCTTTTCCCGGCACAGCGTTGCCTAGTTGAACCAGGATCACCCACCAGCTATTTTCATCACCCCGTGTGAATCGGATGAATCGATAACGAACTGATTCCGGGGCTCGTGACATGAAAATCGAGCAACTTGAATGCACGGGACTCCATTCATGAATCGATCCATGGGCGAAATCGAGCACACCCACCCAGTGAATTCCGGGTGCTGTGAGTCAACTAGCACGGGCATAATGCAACTCCCGGCCCCCTGTGAACACTGTACTGGGCTGTGGGCACTGTGTAGGTTGCTAACTTGTTCATAAGGCCATCGGGTTCCATTCAGCAGCACTGTGGACTACACTGTAATACATGCGGAGTGCCGTATGAGAAAGCTGTGTCTGTTGGTATCTTATAGCACTTTTCATTGAGTGAGTACTCTGTACGTCTGTACAGGCGCTTTTATATGACTACAGTCCATTTCTAAACTATAGACGCGTAGGGTTTTTGAAATATTTCAAATTTGGCTGGAACTTTTTGAGAATAGTTTTCGGAATATTGCTCAGGTCCGCTCCACAATTACTCTCATATAGTTTCTAAACGATTGGATAAAAGACGCTCAATTTGTAAAAATGTATGCACAAAGTGATCACAGATTTTATGTGGTATAGATGCTTGCATAACGGTTTTGCCTAGGTACGCGTCTATAGTTTTGAAATGGACTGTAGGTTGCGTAAAGCCAGTTTGCACATCGCAACAACGTCTGTCTCCGCCATCAGCATCCGGTTTGTGCAATATCCACTACGGCACTTCAGAAAAATAGAACCGGGGTGTGAAGTCTCAGTTCTCTGATTTTATACACATTCTTTCTCTCCCTGTGTTTCTCCAGGAGAAGTCGTACAAACCTACAGAGTTTGAATGGAACAGTAGCTCACTCCTGATTCGAGGAGTTGAACATTCGAAATTCGTCAGCGGCTAGGAGACTCACTTCTGTCCAAATTCTTGGTACATAAATGCCCCAGTTCAACTATTCACACGAACCTTTCGTCCGCAAGTTTAAATTTATTTTAGAGACCAATTTGGATAAGATTATTTAGCTCACTTTCCCTAGTTATTTTTCTAATATTTGTTTGACTCTGCTGACTCTTTTCAATTCTTTGCCTACTTCCTCCGGCTTGAGAACAACTGCTGCAAAATACATGCACATATAGACATGGTAAATGAGTAGCCTATTTTTTTGCTGTGTATGTTGTGCCGGCGCTGATGTTGTTCGTCATGCTTGCATGTATCATGGACTAGTCTAGGTACATTGTTTATTAGATGCTGACTACCTGAGCGTACTTTCATGGTGTTTTTGTTTTGTTTTTGTTTTTTCGGGATCATGTATTTCACTGGTGATGACCAAGGGCTGGATGTTTAAATCTGATCCCTTTGTGTTTGTTTTCTCGCAAGAGAACGTGTGGAGACAGAAAAGTACGATCATGTAGATTTTATGACTTTTCGTGTGTGTGTGTGTGTGTGTGTGTGTGTGCAATCCCAGCACAAGTTGCTATGGCGTCTGCTGTAGCATCGCTATCATTGCCTCCGGCGATGGGGGTCAAATGGTGTGTGTGTGTTTTTTTAGGGCTCAAACGGCTGCAGTTTTCACCTTAACGGTTAACTGCTACGCTAACGGTCGGTTTATCCGTTATAACCTATAAGCTGCGGCAGTCTGGCGCGTACCTAGTTTGAACAGTATTATACAATATACTTGGTCAAAAATGTACTCTGCAGACTTACTACTAAGTACTAACAAGAGTACATAACCCCCCAGAGTGTGCAACTCCCACATACCCTGTTGTCCCGACAGAATTTCAAGTTGACGTCATTATTTATGATGCAATGCTCCTTGCAGCAGTGATTTACAACATGTGTACGGGTGTCAACGCATCACACGTTTTTCTTTGCAATAATTTGTACAGGATCGATCGGCTTCGGTCAACCACAGGTTCCGGATTCGTCTGATAATCCGTGTACAGTGCGCATTGCATCATCAAAATGACGTCAACTTGAAATTCTGTCGGGACAGCACCCATAGTGGAGTTGCACACTCTGGGGGGTTATGTACTCTTGGTACTAATCTATGCAGCACATGTTGGCATGCTCATTCACGCCTATTCACAGACCAGAAGCATTAAAGATGGCATGAAATTGATTCAAATTGTCACGGATGGTACTATGTAGTGTGCATGTATGCATGTGTACATACACGATAGGTTGTAAAACTGCCAAAACTCGGTAAAATGCGTACTTTGAAAACTCGAAAAAGTACCCGTGTAACCTTTATCTTTTCAAAACCGGTCTTAGACCGGTTAATCGGACTAACTGTTTGAGCCCTAGTGTTTAGTGTGGGTGTGGGTGTGCGTGCGTGCGTGTGTGTGTATGTACGTGTATACTCAAGTAACGTTACTGTCGTTAGTGTCTACTGACTGTAGTGTCACCCTGGTCACAGTACAGTGATTTTGGCCATCTCGTGACCATGGTGATGGTGACAGTTGTCTTGACACATGGGATCCGGGAAGTCAAGCCACACAACAGAACGTCACAAGTCAAGGACAAGGGCAAGGATCTAGGAACAAACGCCGCGCGACCATGATGTAGACCAGCCTCCTCGATCGCGCTAAACCTAAACTGCTAAAGCCTAAGTAACATGAGTAAAGGCTAAGGAGTAAGGTTAGGTCAAGTAAGTAAGGAAGGTGCTAACTATCGTTAACGCGTTGCGATCGATCGACAAACCAATCATGCTTCGGTGACCATGGTGATATGGGGCCAGGTCAGGAGCTAGCTGGAGAGTGTGCCACGTAATCATTGATTGAGCAAAGGCAACCCCATGCTACATAGTCATTACGACATAGTCATTGGCCATTACGGCATTACAGGCATAAGCCGCACCAACACGGCTACAGCGCAACAGAGCGCCAGTTCTCTTCCGAAGAGGGAAGCTGCCTTGTACTTGTACTTGAAGGCGCCTCTCCAGCTCTCCTTGCTGTTTCGCAAGTACTGTACCGTGACGGTGTGGTTAGAGTCTGTAATCGCTGCTAGGCTGCAGCAGCATTTGCAGGACAACTAGAAGGGCAAGGAGCAGGAAGATGAGAGCCGCTACAAGAACAAAATAAAAGTTACTTTGTCGCTCCTCGTTCCGCCTGTGACCGCGGAGTTTCGTCGTCAGTTGAGTCTTCATGACAAGGAACCCCTCAGCCTTGCAGCAGGAACACACAGTAGCACCGTGTTCGTCTACTATTCGTAACCATTGGCAACTGCGCCGACTGGGTCCTCCCCGTACAACTGCTTCCAGCAGATTTGTGAGAGTCGCCGACCGTTTGTGTGAGCCTTTGCCCCTGCAGCTGACTCTTAGGCTACGTAAACTGATACACTGATAGTGGTGTGGCTGTTCTTCTTGTCGTGAACACTGCATGATCGACCGTGCACGCGTCAATAGCGACAAAGAATCAGGGTCTGTACAGGGACCCGGATATCTCGTAACTCAACTCAGCCTGAAACATGGAAGAAGAATTGGCGGCAGCCAACGACCAGCGCCCGAGCGGAGCAGCTGGCGGCGAACGTCGCTCGAGCGCAGAAAGCGGCGAGGAGCGGCGCCCCAGCAGGGCGGCCGAAGCTGCCAAGCCTGAAAAACAGCCCAGTGTATGGTCAAAAGTTGTTGCTGCTGTGAGAAGGATTAGGACGGATGATGATACATACGACCCAAATCTGCTTTCCTCTCCGAAAATAACCGCGGACAATATAAGCCGAACGAACGTCCGGTATCTATGTCACTTGAAGTGGCATCTAGAAAAGACGGGGAAGGATGAGGCCTGGCGTCAGTGGGTAGTTGAATTCCTGCATGTGGGTGGTCTGCAAGCTCTCTTTGCCTGTTTGAACGAGATGATGAAAGGCCGTATTACCTTCTGTGACGTCACAGTGCAATTGGAATGTGTGAAGTGTATTGAACTCGTCCTGAACACCCCTATGGGAATAAATCATTTACTGGACACAGCAGTTGGCCAGGTTGTCTTCTTCTCTAACGGTGAGTTCATGTTGTAGTGTCAACTACTATGCTGTATGGATGCATGATGCATGCGTGTTAGTGTTGACTGCGGCATGCTGTATGGATGCATGTGTGTTATTGTCTACTGTATGCTGTATGGATGCATGTGTGTTATTGTCTACTGTATGCTGTATGCAGGCGCGTGCTCGGCGATGGGCACGGGGGGCACGTGCACCCCCCAAAAATTTTCAATCTGGGTAATTGCAATTGTAATGTATGCAAATATGCTCTAAAATTCAAGAAAGGTTGCAAACAAATTGCAGAAAATTGCCGGGGGGGCTCCCCTCGGCTCCCGTGCACCCCCCTAGTTGGGGGGCCGAGCACGCCCCTGAATACGGATGCATGATATGTGTGTTAGTGTTGACTGCGGCATGCTGTATGGATGCATGTGTGTTATTGTCTACTGTATGCTGTATGGATGTGTGCATGTTATAATGATACGAGTGATTCTATGTACCGTATTTTACCGGTTATAAGACGACCTATTTCGACTAAAGATGGAAAGAGAAAAGGTGGGGGCCGACTTACAACCAGGAACTTTCAGTGTCTTCCAAAATGGCCTGCACTGCGTACACGAGCTCGACCTATAACCAGTAAAATGTAGTACATGTGTGCTAAGGATTTAGATGGCATACCATGATGGTATTAGGGTGTATACAATTCCCTCAGATGGCCACACTGTCATCCTCACGCTGCCCTGTTTGGGTGGTAGTGCACGCCACCAGGACTACCTTTCTCTAAAATGAATAATTGAATATTTGTAGTACATCTGCACAATTGACAGCATTCTCATCATAGTGGCAACACTTGTGGTCTCAAGTTTCAACACCATACCGTGACTGTGTACGTGACACGTCAGCAGTTATCACTATATTGAGCACATGCCTTCCCTTTCTTCACGCCATGGTGCGTTGGGACGCTGTTATTAATCATGTTTGATGGCAGGTATGTTGAATGACATGTTCCGGGTACTGTAATTTCACAAATTTTCGGTGTACTTTTATTTTCGGTACTTTCGGTGCGTCTGTTTCATACCAAAAATTTCAATACACCGAACAACTACTAACACACATAATCCAATTGGGAACTGCTTCTCTGTACCGAAAATTTCTGTTCACCTAACCTGGCATGTTGCCCTCATACGGAAAATATTGAGCACCGAAAATTTCTGAAATTAGAGTATGCTGAGTTCTATGACTGATATTTGCCATTGCCGCAGGTATGCTGAACGACTATACACTGGTGAGAAATGAGATAGCTGGACTGCTGGCGTGCCTAGCCCTGTACGATAGGGAAGGCTTCCGTCTTGCTTTGGAGGTTCTGCAGAATATCCAGGTATGCTTGTATCCAGTTTGCCGCATGTGACATACATGCACGTGACATGTACCATATTTTTCGGAGTATAAGCCGAACATTAAATACCAGTACCCCCCCCCCCCCTCAAGAAAACCTGGGTGCGGCTTATACTCCGGAAAACCCAGTACACATATGTGGAGATGGAGTCACTGGCAGCAGCAATTCTCCTATACAATGATCGCACACAGGGGGAATGCAAATTGTGCATTGGGAATGAAAACGTAATGTTTGTAGCCCTTCCATGGCTCAAGTGCAGCTAGAGTATGAACGTGGTTGTTGCTGTATTCTTGTTCTGTGGTACTGTGAATAACACACAGGACTTGAGGCAGTCATTGTGTGTTAGTGCTCACCGTGTGTACGTTCATTGTGTGTGTGTGTGTGTGTATGTGTGTGTTCATTGTACGTGTGTTGCAGCAGGGATGCAGGTGAGCACATGCTCTCCCTTGCTACGCTCAGCCGTAAAAAAGTAACGTTTTGTTCACTGCACGGTTTCTGGTGTATCTTCTGCTTGTTCTCTGCTTGTTCTCTGCCTGTTCTCTGCCTGTTCTCTGCTTATCCAGTTGAAGCTAAGCCTGCGCAATAAGTTCAGTTATATTATGACTCAGCTTGACACATATATAATGCACCCTGGATACGTTTTCAATCTCCTGGGGCTAGTCAATACACTGTTGACACAGGCCATAACTGTCCAGGAGAGGCGCAAGATTCTTGCTGAGCTGATGAGCTGTGGCATGGACGAAAAGGTCTATATGATAAAATCGTAAGTTGTGTGCGTGCGCGCATGTGTGCGCGCATATGTGTGTGTGTATGTGTGTGTGTGTATGTGTGTGTGTATGTGTGTGTATGGGTGTGTACTTCCCAAGTACATGTATGTGCATGCGTATCCCGAAGGAGGAAAATATGTGTATCATGTGTGCTTGCCCCGTTCCACTCCTTGTAGGCAACTCGTTGCCTGACTGATTGCCCTTCGCAACTACAGTGAAACCTGTCTAAGACGACTGCATACAGTCAGACCTCGCTTAACCGCACACATCCGTTTTCCAAAAAAATATCCGGATAGGCGAGGGAACCGGATAACCGAACACCGTTTATGTTGGATGCATCACGTATGCTGTAAATATGTAACCAGCTTTTTTCTTCCGGATGGCGAGGGATCCGGATAAACGAGGACCGGATAAGCGAGGTCTGACTGTACATGCATACATGCATACATGCATACATGCATACATGCATACATGCATACATGCATACATGCATACATGCACACATGCATACATGCACACATGCACACATGCATACATGCATACATGCATACTTTTTTTTTTTGTGGGGTAACGGCCTCTTTTACGGACAAAATAGTCATGTAGACGTGAAAAAAAAATTGAGATACCGTCGTCCCTCTCTAATCCGGCACTTTATAATCCAGCACCCTGGATAAACCAGCACAATTTTCAGTAGCCAAAATGTCCTCTTCATGCACATTGCAGCAGTAAATCAGATTTGTTAATCCAGCACCCTCCCTAATCCAGCAGATTTTCGTGGCACAAATGGTGCCGGATTATAGAGGGACCACTGTACCATGAAAGTTAAAATAGAATTTTATTCAAGTACAATACATTGGGAAACTCCAAGAAATTCCACGTAAAACAGACGGAATTCAGTTTTCAATGGCCGATGCCTACCCCAGCACCATCCTGCGTCGACAGGCCTGTCAGGCGCCTTCTAGACCCGCGTAGCCGGAGGTCGACTGCATGGATCACTGCAAATTGGCTGCGAACTCGCACCCAAGCCATGATGATTGAAAATGGCTTGTCCCACTTGAGGGCGAGGCGACCAGCAAGTCGCTTCTGATAGCTGGCGTATTCGCGATGTAGCACCCCATCCGTGGAACAAACCAGTGGTGTGAACGACCCACGGAGGTCCTCGGAGGCCTGACGATACTTCTTTTTCTTCGCGTTAGCAGCGCGGTTGGAAGTAGCTTCCCAGGATGAATGGGAGTAACTGGGTGCGTTGGCATCAATGATGCGATTATCAAAAAACGCCACCCTGTTATCCTCCCACACACCCCGGGCAAGCCAATCTGCCCGAAGAGCAGGCTGCCCCGTCCGATCACCCTCCGGCACCATGATCGGCTCGACGACAACACCACCGAATGCCATATCAGCTAGCTTTGCATCGCTATCACGCAGATCATTGTGGCCTCGCTTGATAAGTCCACCTTTCGGGCAGTCAAGGCCATGCTGGAGAGAGAAAGGCTTCCCGCAACCATCACATTGCGCTGGCAGGGCAAGCGGCTGCCGACCATAGCGGATGGCAAGTTGATCGCGGAATTCTGTACTCGACAGATCATACCCCTCGCGCTTCAGGGGCAACACCGTAAGCCATCCGGAGGCATAACCCCGTACGATGCGGGAGAGGGTGCGCTCCTCAAGCTGTGGCAGGTCACTGAGAATTGATTGGCTGATTTCAGCGGAAATCACATCTCGTTCCCTGCTGATTTGGCTTGTGATGCGGCGACAGTGAGCGCTGTGATCATTTACGTTTACGGGGTTACCAGATTGGATTGAGTTGCGCAGGATGTCAGTAGCGTTTCTCGAATTCTGGTAAGCCTGGGGTGCTGTGTGGACAGGATCGGCCAAAGCCAAGCCACCATACTTGACTGGCAGGGTGAGGAGCTGGTGTTCCCGAGGAAGAACCTCCCGCCCAAGGATGGCTGGGGCAAATTGCTCCAGGATGACGTCTCGAAGCGGAGCAAACTCCTCCTCAAGACCCTGGACAACACGCTGCAGGTATGACCACTCACATGAGAGCGAGCGATTCAACGCACAATACGCCGACTGGGGGTATTTCCTGGCAGCAGCGGCAAGGCAATTGACACTGCTCACCCACGTCTCCACTCTCTCCTTGACAAACGATCTCACTCCGTCAGGTTCACCGATACAGCCTCCTAGGAAACGGGCGGATGTGGCTACTTGGATGTTCAGATCCCCAAAGATACATGCAGACATGCATACATGCATACATGCATACATGTGTTGAGTTCGAAACAGGACGACTGACGACATATCCAGACATTACAACGGGAACAGGTAGGTTGGGGGAACGACATTTATGATAGACGACGAGACAAGAGACCAAGACGAACGAAACGACTACATTGAAGAGTGAGAAAAGAGAGAGGCAGAGATCAAGTCTGAACGGCAAGATAAAGGGCCTGGGTAGCTATGGCAAATATGGGCGCGCAAGTAGCTACCCAGGCCAACGGAACAAAAGGAGACAAAAGGTGAGTACGTAAGTGCATGCAGGCCAGCTAGAAAAGGTACGGGAGGAGGTACCTAACATACCACCCCTCCATGAAACAAAATCCCGCGTCCTCGCGGAGAGAAAAAAAAAGAGGAAATATTTAAAAAAAAAAATGAACTGGAGGAGAAGAAACACACACACACACACACACACACACACACACACACACACACACACACACACACACACACACACACACACACACACACACACACACACTGCACGCGCGCACGGATCTCACGAAAGTGTGTACTAAATGCACTACAGATCATTCCTGTACTACTTATAGTGCGTAATAACTATTGGAGTTTGACGAGGAACATGAATTACTAGTATTTTGCACGGCTAATACAGCCTAGTTACACTTTTGCTAAACATCCAAAAATTAGAGCGTGGCTCACCATGATCGGACCCCTAACTTGGTAATGTTTTACTAACACACGCGCGCGCACACACTACAAAAAAATTCACGAAAATAAATTTGACGAAGAAGCATACAAAAAAAAGAAAGAGAGAAAGGTAGCTGACCTGCATGGCTTGAACGAGACTAGACGAGGTTGGCGTAGGAGAGACGAGGTTGATAGAGACGAGACGAGGTTGGCGTAGGAGAGACGAGACTGACATGGACGAGACGAGGTTGACATAGACGAGACGAATGGTGGTTGAGGACGGCTGGGCATGGGATGATCTCAGGGTCGTGGGTCGATCAATAATCGGGCGCCAATGTTGAGTTCGAAACAGGACGACTGACGACATATCCAGACATTACAACGGGAACAGGTAGGTTGGGGGAACGACATTTATTATAGACGACGAGACAAGAGACCAAGACGAACGAAACGACTACATTGAAGAGTGAGAAAAGAGAGAGGCAGAGATCAAGTCTGAACGGCAAGATAAAGGGCCTGGGTAGCTATGGCAAATATGGGCGCGCAAGTAGCTACCCAGGCCAACGGAACAAAAGGAGACAAAAGGTGAGTACGTAAGTGCATGCAGGCCAGCTAGAAAAGGTATGGGAGGAGGTACCTAACACATGCATACATGCATACATGCATACATGCCAACCTGAACCTGGAGGCTTGAGTTCCCTGGACAAAGAGGCTATATTCCCTTCATTTTGACCGTTTTCCCTGGACACCAATCTTTTAGCGCATCCATCATTAGCAGATGTATTTTTTCATGACTGCTCCTCAGGCAAAAGGGATGTCACTGCATTGAGCTGTAACTGCCCAAGCAAACCTGTTGACTACTGTCATACCGGCGATCCGCTGCAGTTCCACATGTTTTTTTTTTGTCTACTATGTGCTATGTATCTATAAGTCCGAGGAAACACTGAAAAACGTCAAAAAAAAGGAGAACTCCGATTTCAAAGCTCCATCTCTATCTTTGGACTTTCGCAGGACATCCCTGGACCCTGGGACAAACACCCTATTCCCTGGACTGACCCGGGAAACCCTGGACGGTTGGCATGCGACCGCTCAAAGGCCTCAAAACGAGGTCCCTGTTACAAGGTGGTCTTCTTATCCAGGGTCGTATGACTGGAAATAGTGCCCCTTGGACCTAGTTGTAGTGGTCATCTGCGACAGGCGGTCACTTTATCAAAATGGTCGCCATAACAGGTTTTACTGTATCATATTGCTCCAGGGATTGCCACACCATACACCAGGGATTGCCACACCATACACCAGGGATTGCCACACCATACACCAGGGATTGCCACACCATACACCAGGGATTGCCACACCATACACCAGGGATTGCCACACCATACACCAGGGATTGCCACACCATACAAAGACATTGGCAGTAGCGCTTTGGCAGGTGGGGCTCACACGAGGACGTCACGTCGCTGCTGTCGTGTCAGCTCGTTTCTAGTGCTCTTTGATTATCATGGATCCGAGAACTCCTTTCTCTTGTGGTCCCGTGCAGGATTTCGGAATTGGGCTCGAAAGAGATAGCAATCCAACTGCAGGTGTACGAGGAAATCAAAGATATTGAGGAGAACCGAAGCGAACCTGGTGATATTGACCAGGAAATCGATGCAAGAACCTCTCTCAGCCTATGCTGTGAAATCGACAACTTGGTAATGATAACACTTGGTGTGTATATGTGATATTTTCTCTGAGTTGCAACTTGTGCTTAGTGCTCTCCCCTCTTTTATAATTTTATGTCGATGGACAGACAGATGGACTGACCGACCGACCGGCTGGCTGGCTGACAGGCACACGAGCGGAGAACATTTGTCTATCTACCTGCATCATTCTGTTGTACCTACATGTAGATGCAGTGCGTATTGCTTATAGGGCTGGCAGCTACAGTAATATCCCAGTTATAGTGGTCAATGTTTCAAATTCATTTTCATTTGCTATAACTGAGTTTACACAGTCATCGTGTGTTACTATAGCCGTCTACATCATATTGCACTTTCAAAAATGAATTTGATCACTGTAAGCGATATCATTGCGTATCATCAGTAGTGATCATATTCATTTTTTGAAAATCCTTTTTTGCATTATTTTGTATTGGATAAAACTGTTGTTGTGATTTCAAGTGGTGCCAGAGGTTTTATAGAGAGCTAGTTTGAGAGGTATAGAGAGAGAGACAGGCAGGCAGACACACACGCACACACACACACACACACACACACATACACACGCACACACCTTCCTTCACACACACACACACACACGCACACGCACACACACACACACACACACACACACACACACACACACACACACACACACGCACACGCACACACACACACACACACACACACACACACACACACACACACACACACACACACACACACACATGACACACATACAAATAGATAGACAGAAAAAGACAGAGAGGAAGGAGGGGAACGGAAGGGTGCATGTCAACTGTCAAGCACAAGCATTCCGAGCTGTTAGCTGTTAGCAAACATGTCCCCATCATGAGGAAGATGTGACTGTGTATGTGTTGCAGGTGCGTGACACACCTCACCACCAGGATTTTCATACAGTACTGCAAGTTCTTCTCCTCATCGACAGAGATCCACCTCACAAGAAGGATCGCTGGAGGGTTACCAAAAAGCTGGTGACCAAGGTGTTGCTTGCCGAGGAAGATGTCCTGCAGGATCTGGCACTTCGCCTGAAAGATTCAAGCATGACGTTGTGTGATTGTTACCACGTACTGAAAAATGAGCCACTTCGCAAGAAGAAGGGACCTTCAGACGGTCCGCCCAGGCCAGCGTCGCTATCTGAGCGTGTCCTTTGCTCGTTAGACTCAGATTCATATACCTGTGCACCCGAGAGTACGTCAGCGACGCTGGCACAAGCCGCTCCGGCAGCACCTGCACCTGATATCCACCTTCCTGCTGTCTCACCAGTAGACCTAAGTGAGGGGCAGATGCAACAACTACCAGCAGAACAGCACATGGGAAGATATTCCCGTGGTGACTCTACCACACCTCCTCCGGCACCAGGCTCTCCAGATTTAGCAGCAGCAGCATCAGCGGATATGGCATTCCCTCCGCCTCCGTCTCAATCAATGGAAGGAGCGGCATTCCCCCCGCCTCCGCTTGAAGCAATGGAAGGAGCGGCGGTGTACACGGCTGCCCCTGCTGCTGCTGCCACTGCCACTGGTGACACTGGTGCTACTGCTGCTGCTGCTAGCGCCAGTCTAACCACTCCACCACTTGCACCGCCACTTCCGTCCACCAACGTTACAGGTATAGTCAAGCAAGTTGCGTTATGTTGTAGATTGCTGCAGAGTGCTGCTGCCTGGTGATATTCTTGTTTAACCCCCGGAGTGTACGCCGTTGAGCTGTGTTTCAACCAAATCATCATACACATCTATGTTAGCCTTTATGAACCATGCATATGCAGTGGACTCCACTTGTAACAAACTCGGAGGTAGCAAATTTCGTAATCTAGAAAGGCATGGTTCATGTCACTGATTTAACCCATACAAAATCGACCCTTTGTAGCTAACTGTTTTCGTTAACAAACCATATCTTGATCGGGAGCATGTAGGTAAGTGCACCCATGCAGTCACCGCAGCATGCCAGATTTGACATGGTCAGTGTAGTGTGAGAGCAATTCTGCTGTAGTCGAGAACTAAGTCTCCTGCACATTGGTGTTGGTTAAATCCAGAGTTGACTGTACCCTTAGCCGCATAATGAGGTACTCTGCTGGTGGGAAAGATACTGCCGTACAATCTGTGATCACTTGGCTTGCAGATGCAGTACGGCAAGAAAGTTGTAGTCCAGGATTTCTGATGAAAAACTCAGGCCCGCCACAACCGGTCCGCTTGGTCAGGTTCTTACCAGACCAAATTTTCGACCACTAACACATGTTTGCTCCCATGGAGGGCAGTCCCCGCCATAGGGCACTGCGTGTCCCCGCCATAGGGCACTGCGTGTCCCCGCCATAGGGCACTGCGTGTTCCCGCCATAGGGCACTGCGTGTCCCCGCCATAGGGCACTGCGTGTCCCCGCCATATCATACACAAAGTGTGAACGGCCATGGAGGGCAGTCCCCGCCATAGGGCACTGCGTGTCCCCGCCATATCATACACAAAGTGTGAACGGCCATGGAGGGCAGTCCCCGCCATAGGGCACTGCGTGTCCCCGCCATAGGGCACTGCGTGTCCCCGCCATATCATACACAAAGTGTGAACGGCCATGTTACTGCAGCCCAATCAAAAAGTTGCTTCTGGCGGTCCTGCAACTGTTATGGAAGCAGATATGTGCACTCACTCCATGGAGAAATTTCACATTTTCTCCTCCGGTAGAATCTATATTTTCTTCTCCAGTAGATGATGGTCGGGGTTTGCGGGATGGCTAGAATTTAGATTTTCTTCTCCAGTAGAATATTCCGGCCTGTTTCTCCTTCTCGTTCTCGAGAAACAACATTAAAAGCCTATCATGGCTATGTGCACACTTGCAGGTTTTGGTAGTGTTGGAGACACACCATTTTGGCAAATTATTGTGACACCTGCAGGACATATGTGCATACTGTATGCTAATACAGGGGCGTCGGAACCGGGGCGGCAGGTGTGGCCAAAGCCGCACCAATAATTTTCGATTTTTTTCACATTTCAACCTTGTTGGTACATGGTGGCTTGTCGACTCTTAAACAGGTACCATGTTTTACATCGACAATGGGGTGTATCATCAGCATGCATATTCTTTATATTATTCTATAATTATGGCTTTTTAGGCCCAATTTTCAAAAAATTTCACGGGGGAGGACCCCCGGACCCCCCTCTCACACTTTAGCCGCACCAATGTTAAACTCCTTCCGACGCCCCTGTAATACCAAACTGCACGGATGATTCTGCAAGATGAATGCGAGCATCTCACTCATATATCAAGGTCTTCTTCTGCTTCTATTCTTTGGGTGCAATTTCAAGCCTGGCTCCTGTTGCTACTTACAAAGGAATGCCTTTAAAAAATGTTTGTATGTACATACGTTTGTGCGTGCGTGTGGGTGCGTGTGCGTGTGGGTGCGTGTGCGTGTGGGTGCGTGTGCGTGTGGGTGCGTGTGCATGTGTGTGCATGTGTGTGCGTGTGCATGTGTGTGCATGTGTGTGGGTGTGTGTGTGTGTGTGTGTGTGTGCGTGTGTGTGTGTGGTTGTGGCTGTACTGGTTGGTTGCAAAACAGGGATAGAGGAGATAGAGGCAGCTGCAGAACAATCGTCCGTTCCAATGCCTACTAAGCGGATGAAAAAGCTAAATTGGGAGACGATGTCAGCACAGGAAGTCGCCAACTTACCTGGAAATAGCGTTTGGAAGATGATACAGGCGAGCGGTAAAATGAATGAAGATCTCGTGGGCTACGCAGAGTTAGAGAGGCTCTTTTGTCTTCCTGAGAAGTCCCTCAGCGCTGAAAGATTAGATGCCCCAAGACCAGCGCCACCGCCACCGCCTCAACGTTCTACAATCGTGAGTAGATATTCAGTATCGTCGCGCCGCAGGAAGTAGTGTTTCTGTCTAATGCGTTTGCCTTGAAATTGCTTTTGAAAATCTAGATAACACTAACTGCACTATGGCTCCGTTCGCATCTCGGGGCATGCCTGAACTGTACACATCTCTGTATACATGTATGACTGCACTGTACACATCTCTGTATGCATGCATGACTGCACTATACACATCTCTGTATGCATGCATGACTGCACTGTAGAGCTGTTATTGACGGTGTGTGACATGGAGTACATGATCAACTCTATTCTCTTCAATCACTCAAGCCAAGTCAAGGATCTGTAATGCAAAATATTCATTCATTTTCATCTGGGAGATGCGAGCAAAATCCCAGGTAAAGTTTATGGCCAATATTTGAGAGATTGAAGAGAAAAGATTTGTCCATTCAACGGTCATCACCACTAGTTACTTATATCTGTGTGTGTGATGATTTCAACCACATGCCACTATGCTATGCCAATGGCTGGTAATCATGTGACCGGATGATCACTTGTAGAACTTGAACTGATGACATAGCTGATGTGACAGCTGATCATAATGCATGTGATAGCTGATATACATGCAGTGGCTTATAATACCGTCAATGTAATGAAGTATCTTATGTACTTGTAATAACTGATACCCATGTGGTAGCCTATAATTATACATGTACTAGCTGATATACATGTAGTACTGAGCTGATACATGTAGTAGCTGTAGCGACTAACAAGCCTCAGTGATTGCCCTTGTTCTGTGTACTAGCTGTATATACATGTACTGGCTGTATATACATGTACTGGCTGTATATACATGTACTGCTGACATACATAATAACAAAGCTGATCACATGACTGTTCTACCCATGACTGCATCACCCTGCTGATAAATAACGTCATGAATACATGTAACTGGTAGACTCTGATCGCATACCCACATACCCACATACCCACATCGTACGATGGAGGTCTTTCTCGTTTCCTATGCTCAGTCATGTGGCTTGGCTGTTCCGAGTTTTCTCCTTTTTGTGTGTGTACGATATTGGTCACTTGCTGATACGTAGACATGATGCACACACTGTGTATCTGGACGAGTGTGGTTGGACCCTGTGTTGTTGGACCCTGTGTTGTCTGGACGAGTGTTGTTGGGCCCTGTGTGTTTGGTGTGTGATTACCTCCCTAGCACAGGCAATCGACTGTTAAAACTGTACAACTGTAGTGGAAATTAATAGGTTAGCTTTGATATGTGCCTGTCATTACAAATGCTGCAGAGGGTGTACCCAGTGCAAGTGCTGAAAGTGTTCATATGCTGCAGAGAGAGAGAGAGAGAGAGAGAGAGAGAGAGAGAGAGAGAGAGAGAGAGAGAGAGAGAGAGAGAGAGAGAGAGAGAGAGAGAGAGAGAGAGAGAGAGAGAGAGAGAGAGAGAGAGAGAGAGAGAGAGAGAGAGAGAGAGAGAGAGAGAGAGAGAGAGAGAGAGAGAGAGAGAGAGAGTGGATCCATGCATGATTGCCAGTATTGCATTACAGTGAACTAACCTAGTACATACTCTGATCAGACATACACCCTTTTCCCTTCAAGTAGCATGTTGCTTTCGGTACGTGCATCGTGTAATTCTAATGGAATTTAGTAGATTTAAATTTCAGGTGACATTGTAAACCAAAAATGGGAATCCGCCGAAGAGAATGTAACTACTGCAGCCGTCCAACATCCTATGGCGTGATAAGCACAACCTGACAGCTTACACAATCCCACTGATCACTAACTTGAGGTTTCTTCACCGATGTTACCGTGAACTAAATGATCAAGACATGAAGTAGGTTTACGTTTGTTTACGGTAGGTGTGATGCCATAACAGCACTGTCAGCACTGTCAGTGTGACTGTTTGGCTTTACGACTGGTGATCGGTGGCATGCATTTCTCTCCCATCTAATCTGGAGACTCCCTCGATTTAGGCTAAGGCCTGTGGAGAATCCATAAATACAAATACAATACAATACAATCTTGTAATCATTTCTCTCCCATCTAATCTTGTAATGTAGATGGAAATGAAATGCATAGTATAATACTGTGTGTTGTAAATGGACTATTTAGCAGTGATGTAATCCTAGTGTTAAAGGGGAAGTATAGTCTAAAATCAAATGTTCACCAGTTGTAGTCTTCGGGGCGCCGGGTCGAATGGTCTTGGTCTGAGGAAGGTGAGACGGCGCAGGCACCCAGTTTTGGTGGAAGTGGCAAGTTTGATTGGGAATAAAGGAGGAAGGAGCGTCTCAGCTTCCTAGGAACAAGACCATTCGACTCAGCACCCGAAGACTACAACTGGTGAAAATTTGATTTTAGACTATCCTTCCCCTTAAAATAGCAGGAGTGTTTTCACAAAGCGTTGTTGGTTGTGAAATCATTTTCTGTTCCTCTGTTCAGCTGCCACTGCAATATTTTGACTTACGCATGTCACTATGGTTTCTCTTGGTTAAGGGCCCGGGTCACACATGCACTTTCAGAGTGGCAGAGCCGCTAACGCAGCACCACAGAAACAGAAACAGGAATGAACATTTTAGAAAGTAGAACAACTGCTGAAGCAGGAACTCAAATGTGCTGACCTCTCTTCTCTTCTTCTCTTCTCTTCTCTTCTCTTCTCTTTTCTTCTCTTTTCTCTGGCACAAATTGAACCTTGCCGCTGCAAAACCTTGTCCCCGCAGCAGAACCTATGTCGGTGTAACGGGCCATAACCTAGTGAAGAAGAAATTTACACTGAAGAAGATTGCTATCCAAACCTACTGGCATTCACAGTTTGTTCAGTACATAGTTGGTACATACAGGTCTGATAGTGGTGTGATTCATAATGATCCTGGACTGTTCTTTTCTGCTCTCTCTCTCTCCCTCTCTCTCCCTCCCTCCCTCCCTCCCTCCCTCCCTCCCTCCCTCCCTCCCTCCCTCCCTCCCTCCCTCCCTCCCTCCCTCCCTCCCTCTCTCTCTCTCTCCCTCTCTCTCTCTCCCTCTCCCTCTCCCTCCCTCCCTCTCCCTCTCCCTCCCTCCCTCTCCCTCTCCCTCCCTCCCTCTCCCTCCCTCCCTCTCCCTCCCTCCCTCTCCCTCCCTCCCTCTCCCTCCCTCCCTCCCTCCCTCCCTCCCTCTCCCTCCCTCTCCCTCCCTCCCTCCCTCCCTCCCTCTCCCTCCCTCCCTCTCCCTCCCTCCCTCTCCCTCCCTCCCTCTCCCTCCCTCCCTCTCTCTCTCTATCTCTCTCCTCCTCCTCCTCCTCCTCCTCCTCCTCCTCCAGGTAACTTTGCTGGACAGCAGAAAGAGTATGGCTATTGGTATCCTCCTGAAAAAGTTGAAACGGTTGGTTGGAGAGGATGATGTTCTTAAGCTGAACTATTAGTCTTTAGAACATAGGAAGTTGCACTTATGCAAGTGGAATCCAACTGGTTGCAAGTTGCAATTTTCAATTGCAAAATGTATTATTCCGTTTACGGCTAGAGGGTCGAATCCAAGACCTTCATTGTGTACTTGTCGCAAGACAAGGCTGCCAGAGTATTATCCTGACGTTAAAACCAGCTCCACCTGTCACCAGGATCACTGTGGGTTATATATACCCTGAAATGACAAACTAAACATGAATTTGTCTCATCTTGTAGACCATGAATACTAGTAGAGCCTGTTGACTAGCACTCAGCGCCAAGTTATCTGAATGTGCCGGTATGTTGGGGTTAATTCTCTGTCAGGGCAGATCCGGCTTTCTTTGCTATCAGAGAAGAAGTACAGAGAGTGCACAGTGCATGGCCATGCCATCTTCTGCTCAAGGGTGGCATTACACTGTAAAAGTAATTGATGATGTATGCATACGTTCGTGTGTTTGTGTGTTTGTGTGTGTGTGTGTGTGTGTGTGTGTGTGTGTGCGTGCGTGCATGTGTGTGTGTGCGTGTGTGTGTGTGTGGCGTGTGCGTGTGTGTGCATGTCTGTCTGTGTGCTTGTGTGTGTGTCCATGTATTTGCATGTTTGCAAAGGCCATTGTCACAAGTAGTGACAGATCTTACTGGATACGGGACTCACAGTGACAGTACAACGGAATGTAACATTGGTTTGGACGATCTACGCATGCTATTTCGATTATTACCTGACCAGAGAACTGTAAGTCTCACAAACTGGAAACACCTAACACATATTAGTACAATCATAATAAATAGATCGAAATAGTGGTTGCAACTTTGGGGATGATTTGTTTGAAAAGGGTTTGCTCCCCACACCGGTGCTCGCGCTATTCCGCCAGCGCGAGCTCCGGTGTGAGGAGCAAACCCTTTCTAATAAATAGATAATAATATTATACAACTACAAGTTTCTTTTAAGGACTGGAGAGACTCGAATATTGTTGGGTACAGTGCATTGTCTCGACAAATCCAGCATGTCCAGCATGTCCAGCAAGTCCCCCAGCATGTCCAGCATGTCCAGCATGTATAGCATGTCCAGCATGTCCAGCATGTCCAGCAAGTCCAGCATGTCCAGCATGTATAGCATGCATAGCATGAATAGCATGTTCCCCAGTATGTTAATTTTGACAGTACATGTCTAGTTTGGGATGGGTGGGACGGGCGGGTTGGTCAAGAGTGTAAGGCAGTGGTGGAGGCGGCGGTGGCGGCGGTGGCGGTGGTGGCGGTGGTAGAGGTGAACTTTCTCTGTCTTCCATGTTCCGTAACTTTGCCTGTGTGTCTATGTGTGCGTGTGTGTGTGTGTGTGTACGTGTGTGTGTGTGTGCATGTGTGTGTGTGCATGTGTGTGTGTGCGTGTGTGCGCGTGTGTGTGTATGTGTTTGTTTGTGTGTGTGTGTGTGTGTGTGCGTGTGTGCGTGTGTGCGTGTGTGTGTGGTGTGTGCATGTGTGTGGTGTGTGCATGTGTGTGCGTGTGCATGTGTGTGTGTGCATGTAGATTGAGATGATTCGTGTATATCCAGGCGATATATCTAAACTCGCCGATCCAGAACTTTTTTGTCTGGAGTTGAGTGAAGTGCCAGAGTGAGTAGAACCTTGAAAATGATTACGGTAGCACCAAGAGTACATGAAACCAGAGAGTACAGCTTGGGGCCTTTCCGCTATGGGTGTCTGTCACGGCGGAATTCTGTGATTACATCATATTTGATGCAGATCTCAGGCGGGACGTGGCGTAGTGCGTACAACTGAGCTGCACATACCTGTTAACCATGAACTGTTTCTGGCTAGATTAACTCTTGTGTGATCAATGGTGCTAGTGAAGCTTATATCAGATCCGCTCTGATTTAGCCACCCACACTACAGTCCATTCATAAAAAGATGGGCCCTGGCTCTGGGGAGCTCCCGTATTTGGCGATTTTTCGTGATTTCATCGTACACAGTGCAGTGCTGCGAACTTTGAAATTTGAAAGAGGGTCCAAAAAGGTACCTGAACTGGGGTTCGAACCGCACAATGCACTGTTGCAGGCGGGGTCAAACGGCCTGGCTTTTGATGGTTTTTCCCGATTCAGTGCTTTTGGGGCAAAACCTGGCCGAAATCCTATTCTTGCTATGGCTTACTTTTTGGACAAAAAAACTTCAGAAACATAATTGGAAGAGGATTCCATAGGGGATGGCAGAAAAAAATTCTAAAAAAAACTCAAAGATTGACCCATTTGTAGCCAAAAGCTAGAAGTCCATCTTTTTCTGAATGGACTGTAGTAGCCGCTTGAAGTATTATCTTCACTAGGGGCAGGGGTAACTGCAGTTGGATTCCTGGACGGATACCCTGATGCCGTCAATCCTGTTTCTTCACCTTGTCCTTATCCACTTACTGAGGTGTGGTGAGCCCATAGGTGGGATCATTTTCAACAAATTTCAAGTCCACCCATAGTTGGGATTCCAGGGGTGTCGGCCGTTGGGCGGTTCAATAACCAATTGAGTCATCTTTCCAAGATTACTTTTGAGTCCCTCTCCCCTCTCCCAAGGGAGGACCCACGTGACCAGTTATGGCAGTGAGCAAGTACAAGTACAAGTGTGCGTGTGTGTGCGTGCGTGTGTGCGTGCGTCCGTCCGTGTGTGTGCGTCCGTGTGTGTTTGTGTGTGTGTGTGTGTGTGTGTGTGTGTGTGTGTGTGTGCGCGCGCGCGCATGCGTGGGTGGGTGGGTGCTGCATGTCCTTACCACTCTGCAGCTATCGACTACTTCTTAAAACAGAGATACTTATCAAGGAATTTGCACACATCCACAGTTCATCCACAGAAAGCCTTTGGGACTTGGATAGTGCCATTGCTGGTAAGTCATGAAATGTGACTGATCGGGTGTCTGTGAAATCGAAGAAAAAATTCGGAAGAAAGGGGGTGATGGGTAAAAACGCCCAGTGGACTTCTATTTCACTGCTGCGTTTGAACCCGGAACCCTGCGGTTCTGGCGCAAGGCACCGGAACTAACCACTCGGGCGATCTGAAACTTATCCAATACACAGGAGACATTGTTTGGGAGTGTCGCATCAATATGACTCTCTGTCAAGTGTACATGTATGTACACCAGGACTGAGTCGTATCCCGGGGAACACTACGACATCATATCACATGCAAAATATGTCCATTTTGACCTCAGATTTGAAAGGTTCTACTGGATCTGTGTGGGCTATGCACTGATCTCGCTATCCTTTGGCCTGCTGACCTCAACTCGGCCCAGGCCAGCGATGCCATATGCAAGTGTATGCTATCCTACCCTACCCTACCGTGCCCTACCCTATCCTATCCTGGCCTAGCCTACCCTGCCCTGCCCTGCCCTGCCCTGCCCTGCCCTGCCCTGCCTCGCCCTGCCCTACCTTACCCGGCCCTACCCCACCCTACCCCACCCTATCCTACTGTACTCTATCCCAAGGTTGACAGGAAAGGGGGGGGGGGCTGTCTGGGAGCGAAATCCACATCGTTTCACATTCATTCAAGTTGTCTCATATCGTCTCCGTAGATGCGTCTCCGTAGATGCTATGACTTTCTGTGAGCACATTTACATGTGGTGAGTGCAATGGTCCATGAGCACATCAAATTGGTCCATAACCGGCACACATATCCCGGGCATGTGACTGCAGTCTGAATCAATCAGTCCGTTCATATCTTTGCCCGCTGTTGTGTGACACTGTGGCTGCAGCTCTGGTTGACAATGAGAAGCTGGCACAAGTGTTCGGTCTTGTACTGCAAATTGGTAACTTCACAAACAAGGTAGGAACACCCGCAGTACCCCCCCCCCCCCCCCCCCCGCCACACACACACACACACATATGGGAACACAAGTGCATGCATACGACTCGTACCGGGAGAGCGCATGCGCGCGCACACACACACACACATATAATATATATATATATATATACACTAGTCAGAACAACAGATGGCTTGATCAGTCACAACTTAAAGTTTCATGCCATCTCAGGCACTCATCAGGTGATATGAACATCAAGAAAAGTAACCCACTATTTAAAGCCCAGTATGGCGGGACAAGGATAACAGAAAGCGCTAGGGGCGCTATCAACTCATATCCGATTCAGTTTCATAGCCAGTAAGGATCGCGGTACTAAGGTGATAAAGGATAAAGGTGATAAAACTGAGCTGGCCTACCTAGTGAGTTCCGCGGTGCAAAGATGATGATGGTGACAAGGCGGCAGAGAGCTATCAACTGGCCCTACTGCCTGGAGGCAGGGTGCCGAGAAGATCATGTTATCGGTGTTGACAGCATGAATTTATTTTGATGTCGACATTTGGATATCAACTCCGACCGCTTGTTGAGGCTCGATCTCCTGTCGGCAGTGATTATTCTCGCCTTCTCCTCGAGGCACAGGCTGCATCTTTTTGTTATGTTGCTGTAGGCCTTGGCCTTCTGGACCACTCGCCACTTGATGTCGTGCGTCTTGCCATTATCTTTTAATTCCCACACATGCTTTGAGAGGCCCGTGGATTTGCGGTATCCAGGAAGCTTGATGGATGTCTTGTGGTTCCCGTATCGAAGCTTGAATGGAGGCTCCGTTCTGCCAATGTAGGTTTTGGGCCCATCGCTGTGGCCATCACTCGACACCTCCGCCGCGTAGACTATGCTGGTTGCTTGGCACGCTCCGTTGAGAGGGCAATGGTCCTTGCGACGGCAGTTGCACGGCTTGTCCGGTTCCTGGACGCACAATTGAAGGTATTGAAGGTATTCTTGGAAAAGACAATGCTTGCTCAAGGCAACACAACTGATATAGGGCACTTCGTGCCCTAAGGTGATAACGCGCGTGCTGACAGGATAGGGAAAGGTGCAAGATACAGAGCTAGAGGGCAGATAAGGTTAGCGCTAACAGGGAACTGTTACACCATCCCTCCCTCCTAAGCGAGGCACAGGTGCCTCCAGGGAGTCGAGGAATATGTGGAAAGGGAATAATCAAAATGAAATCGTGTCAACCCAACAACGCTCATCTAATTGAAGCACCGTGCAAGGTAACCAAGGACAGTCAGGCGAGTGAAGATAACTGAAATGGGGAAAATCTAAAACAGGAGGGGAATGGATTGCTTAACACAACAAGGATCAAGTGGGAATTCTCAAGGTACACGTGCAATTGAATTTGAGCGAGTAACATTTCGCGGTAACCATAGTGTCACTAACATGCCCTGGACGCCCTGTAACGCCTCAGAGCAACTATCGGCCTACCGGCCTCGTCCAGCAAGTTCTCTTCTGGCTCCCAGGTGGCTTCGTCGTCTGGGTACCCTTGCCACTTGACAAGGTACTGAGTCTGATGCCTTCGCTGGCGATCGTCAAGAATCTTCTCCACCATGTATCTGGTCTGACCGTGCAAGTCGGTGAATGGTGGCGGGGGTGGCTGCCGCCTGCCGGGAATAGTATTCTGCTCATACCGGCGCAGAGCAGTGACATTGAAGACAGGGTGGCACCGAATAGCGCTGGGTAGATCCAGCTGATAGGCGTTGGGTCCGATCTTCTTGATGATTGGGTAGGGCCCGAACCACTTAGGGCGTAGCTTCTGTGAAGGCTGATCCCGGGCTTCTGCGGTTGTTAGAAAATCCTTGTACACCAGCACCATGTCGCCAACCTTCAGGTTGCTGGGTACCCTTCCCCTGTCTGCATACTGAGCTTGTCTAGCCTGAGCGGCAATCATGGCGTCCTTTGCCAACTTGACGGCATCCGCCCGATCCTGGATCCAGTCTGGGGCACTCCCTCCTCCCCTCCGTGCCAGGAAATCTGGTGGGGACTTGGGATTAAGTCCATAATTTAGATAAAACGGCGTGCTAGAAGTGGAAGACTGATATGAACTATTAATTGCAAATTCGCAAAGAGGCAGAAGCTTGTCCCAATTATCTTGTTTGTGGTTAACAAACGCTCTAAGCACATCCTCATTTACTCTATTCATTCTCTCAGTCTGCCCATCGGTCTGTGGGTGATTGGCAGTACTAAACGACAAGGTCGTACCTAATTGATGAAACAATTCCCGGAAAAATTCAGAAGTAAATCTTGGGTCCCGATCACAAACAATAGTGGAACTCAAACCGTGTAATCTAAACACATTCTGGAGATACAAATCAGCAGAACCCTTAGCGTCAATTTTGGAAGTCGTGGGGACTAAATGGACACATTTTGTAAGCCGGTCAACAAATGTATAAATTGCATCAAAGCCCTGAGGGGTCTGGGGTAAGCCAACGATAAAGTCCATGGAAATATCTTTCCAGGGGGTGTCTGGTACTGGGAGCGATTGCAGCAAACCGGATCTAGGCAACCCACCCTTAGTGCGCTGACATATGCCGCAAGACTTAACAAATTTCTTCACGTCAAGACCCATCTTGGGCCAATAGAAGAATTGACGAAGCCGGAAATATGTACGATCCCGTCCCTGATGGCCTGCCGTAACACAGTCGTGGTACTCCTGCAGGAGCTGAAGCCTTACTGCACACTTGGGTACACACAAGCGATTGTTTGGTGCTGCACGGAGGTATAGGTACCTGGATTCTTCATCCCAATAGTACCGCTCGTGAAGATTATCAGAGGAATCGCCGCGCAGCCGCTGAATTATTGGGGAAAGCTGCTCGTCATTCTGATATGCTTCCGAAATCATCTCAGCAACCCTATCACTCAGTTCCAAAGCAAACTCAATCGTATTCAAATGGGGTGCTGGTAGGATGGGTGGGCAATCCTTTTCCTCAACTACATTGCCAATTGCTGACCCGCGCAGATCAGGGCGGCGGGATAACGCATCAGCCATATTTTCCTTGCCCGGTTTGTGATTAACTGTGAAGTCATAGTCTGCAAGAAATTCAACCCATCTAGCTTCGCGCTTAGTGAGATTGGCTTTTGTGCTCAAGTAGACTACGGCCATGCTGTCACTGAACACTTCAAAATGCTGGAATAGATAAATTCTCCAGGATCGCAGTGCAAACACCACCGCCAGGGTTTCGCGTTCTGCAGCAGTGTAATTTCGCTCCGCTTGTGACAGCTTACGACTGGCATATGCCACAGGATGCCAAGCACTATCGCTTTCCCCCTGTTGGAGAAGGACGCCTGCTATTGCAAAATCACTTGCGTCTGTTGCAACTCTGAAAGGCTTCTGCACGTTTGCTAGTTTCAACAGCGGTGCACTCAACAAGGCCTGTCTCAGGGGTTCGAATGCATGCTGACGGGGGCCACTCCATTCGAACCTGGCATGTTTGCCAGTGATCTCCTCTAATGGCCGCGATATAGTAGAGTAGTGCTCAATAAATCTTCTAAAGTAGTTCGCAAAACCAAGGAACTGTCTCACCTCCGTAACTGTCGTCGGTGGCTGCCATTCCCTCACTGCTTTAAGCTTCTTTGGATCTGGAGCGATACATTCACCGTCGATGCGATGCCCTAGAAACAGAACATCCTTGACACCAAACTCACATTTCGACTGCTTACAGAATAGCCTATTTTTCCGGAGCGTCTCAAGAACTGTCTGGATATGTTCAAGATGATCTTGCCAGGATTTGCTGAAGATAAGAATATCATCCAGAAAAACTACCACAAACCGCCGTAAGTACGGTTGGAGAATACTGTTCATCAGTGACTGAAACGTGGCAGGGGCGTTAGTTAATCCAAAGCCCATGACCCGGAACTGGAAATGACCGAAGGGAGTATTGATAGCCGTCTTAGGTACATCTTCCTGACGGATCCTAAGCTGATTGTATCCCGAGCGTAAATCCAGCTTACTGAAGTATGAGCTACCTTGAATGGTATCAAACAGGTCATCAATGTTTGGGAGGCAAGCTTTGTTTTTGATGGTGATCCTGTTCAAATTCCGCCAATCACAAACCATGCGCAATGAGCCATCAGACTTTTTAACGAAAAAGACTGGGGCACCGTATGGTGACTTGCTGGGTTCGATGAAGCCCTTGCGGAGGAGTTCCGTGAGCTGGGCTTGCAATTCGTCCATCTCGGGTTTGGGGAGACGGTAGGCAGCCCGTGATGGAGGAACGGCACCCTCCTCAGTCACAATCTCATGGTCGACATCCCTCTCTGGCGGAAGCTCGGTCGGCAGGTCGTCTGGAAAGATGTCCGAGTACCGCCGCAGAAGGTTAGCCAGCTGCTCCTGATGATCTGGGTGTTGTCTGGCGGCTGATGGCTTGCTGTCCTCCTCCTCGTCGTCAGTAGCGTTGACCCACGCCAGGATTCCCTGCGCGCCTTTCCTCAACTCGCGGCGAGCCTGAGAACCAGATATGAGCATGCTCTCAATTGGCGGCGACTCCTGACGTTCCGTATCACTATTTTGGCCGGAAGGGGGTTTAGCAACGAGCGGCTCTCCGTTCAGTTTGACTTCGTTGGTCTGAAAGTTGATATCCGGGTTGTGTCTGGTCAGCCATGGCTTGCCCAGGATAGCATCATAGCGGCTCAACGGAAAAACTGTGAAAGATTGGGTGTCGCTGAAGTCTTTCACGATAACCTTTACCGGACCGGTCCTCTGCAGTCCCGATGATGTCGATGAGCCATCAGCCAGGGTTACCTTCAGTGTTTCGTCCTTACTCTCCGTAACAAGGCCGTTTCTTTGCACGAAAGCTTCCGATATGAAGTCGTGCGTCGATCCCGAGTCAATAAGCATAATTGCCCGGCGGCCGTTGATCCTGCCCTCAACACGGAGAAGGTCATGCTCCAAAGGAAGCTCCGTGTCCTGTACTCCGATATCAACGTTGCTGACATGGGATTCCTGTTCGGCAACATCTTCCGAATCAGC